AGTCAGAATGCACCACGCTTCTCCATGGGTGGCTTGTGACATGTATCTGATCAATCAGGTTGAAACGATCCCACATGCAAAGCGGTGCCCTCCCAGTCATAAGTTGGATGATAACACCAATAGAGTTAAACCTTACCATACATCTTAGTTAAGCTAGTGAACAAAAGCCTGGGGTCTTTAACCTGTAGGGTCATCTAGCAGAGCCCATCATTGCACAATTTTGCACCTGAACCTCCTTTCCAAAGGCAAAGTTTCCATGCTTTGCCATCGTCTGAAAAGGGCTAAAGACCTCGGAGAAATTGCCCCAGATGAGGACAACGGCCCGTGTCTCCGATAGAACTTTTGGGGCATAAAGAAAAAGCTTCCATGTCGAAACATGTCTCAAACTGAGCAATTTTGAACTGAAGAACAAGGGGAAAATGTAAGAGAAGAGAAGAGAAGGGAAGGGAAGGGAAGGGAGAAGAGCTGACACCCTCAATATGTCAAAAACATGTGGATTAAAATTATCAAAGATACAGGCCTCTGAAATTGAACAGTCTCTGACTACGCTTAAAATAAAAGGCAATTTAAAGTTCACAAAAAGGGCCCTTACCCACGAGTTTCAAAATTCAAAACAATCATTGTATTTGACACATCGACCATATTCATCCATATTCTATGTGTGACCTAGGTATGTATTTCTGCAGCTGACAAGTAATGGCACACACAAAAAAATACGGAACATGGAAAACAAAGGGGGAAACGCGGGAAAGGAAGAGAATGTAAGCGGACACCCTCAACAAAATATGTCAAAAACATGTGGTGTTGAATTATTCAAAGAAATGGGTCTCCAAAGATGTCCAAAGAAGGCAGTGTGTACAGCAAAGCAAAGCACGATCAATAGAGGAGGGGATTCACCCATGAAAATTCAGGGCAGTTGCCACCCCTCCACAGCTGTACTATTTGCGGTTGCCGGGCACCGAATTATGGTAATGTCTGGGAATCCCGGAAAATATCTTCCTGAATCGAACATGCATATTCTATATGTTCTTGGTTTGGTTAGTGCATATATTCTATGCAACATTTTTCCGAGTCTGGAAAATTAATTTTGGAACCAACATTATCAATTCTGTATTTTTTGTATCCCGGGTACGTTACAAACATCAATGCAATATATTATGATATGGCTATAGCTCAGAAACGGGGAACCAATAGGGCCACAAACCTGTCATTGCCAGTGGGTTTCTAATTTGCTGTTGAACATGGGAAATGGATCTACCATGCTTACAGAAGTCATACCCTAGCCTACGTGTCTTGTAGCCCTGGCTGTACTATGTTATACTATGTCGCACCTATTCAAATGATTTAAACATGTTTTGAAACCGTTTTTTGAAACCCTTCAGTGGGACTATTTCTGGAATGAGTCTTTGAATGGATTGTAAGTCGGGTCTGTCACAAACTTACCTAGAACCGATGTTTTCGTCCCTCTCAGGTGGGTCGTTCAACACATCCTACAAGCACGTCACTGGGCACAATGTAAGCAACATGACGTGATGGGCACATCCATTAATGGATGAACAACATTGAATGTTCAGCCAATACAAAGAAACTTGGGGTTCATGGCCTACTAATATCGGGAGGGGGTTCAAATTCACAACAAAAAACATGCGTTAATTTTGTCAATCAGATTTTTCAACCCAAGATTGACTTTAATTCCCGTAAATTGTTGTTGACACTGGACCATCGAATCTGAACAAAAAACATGTTCCATTCCAAGCATGTTTGAATACAACATGGATGATGTTTTCCAGCTGCCGCTTTGTTCATCATCCGCATCCCGGGTCAGGATGGAAACGAACACGTATATAAAGAAAATCGATACATAATATTAATTATATATACAAGTATGTGCATATATATATATATAATTGATATTGAATAATCATGACATATTTACACAATTAAATTGAAACCACCAGCAAGCACGTGTAGTTCCTTTGATGTCCGCCAAAGAACCGTCCCGAGAGCGGTGCCAACACCGCTGCTCATATAACCAAACAGTGTCTGTAGCGCATCTTCCACCCTGCGAATCGTGCAATGGAGTGGTGTGTCTAGCCACCCAATTAGTACAGAATGGGGCCGCCTGATGTTTGTTGGTTTATAAACCCCATGAATACCGCAGTAATCTAGTTCGTTATATCTACCATAAACAATAGCTAAGTATTATACACCAACTGAACGCTATCTTGGGGTCCCCATCCTGTAAGACAGCCCTTTCATGTTGCAAAATTTTCAAAACCCACATGCGATATAATAAAATATGCTATATAATTACTTGTCTCCAGAGGGTGAACGACAACACTGGCTATACGCAGGGATTCTGACTTTAGGCTTTCAGGATTTAATTTTAAGGTTGGTTGTTTGAGAGATTTCACAAAATGCTATGCCCAGAACGGCCATCGCCTGTTCCTTCACCGAAAAACACATGGAAGATGACGAGTCCAGTAGCATTTTACACCAAAAAAAAGTAGGACTGATGAATTCATGAGCCATAGAATTCATCATCACCTAAACTACGCGGGATCCTGGTCAATATATGTCTGTACCTGTGCAAATAGAAAGATCTTATATTGATCTTATGTCTACCGGATGACAAGGAACCCTGACCTCTTGTCAAACTCTCAGTTAGTGTTGTTTTTTGTAAATTCGACCGTCGTCACAACAAAAACCTCTTGAGGGCAAGGCATGATTTGATTCCATCGCCAAGAGGAGCACTCTTAGACGAAGCCTGACTTGATGGTTGAACAACTCCCCTGAATAATATGACAGTCACCGACGTCACTACCAACGACCATACATTCCAGCAACGTTCATTATTCTGATTCACAATGGTCATTATTTGCCAGCCCCTGCTTTTGCTATCTGCCAACTACTTAAATTATCACCCTTGTTGAGAAGCTCGCCACGGCCTCATCTGCAAAGGCCGACCTTTTGCCTTTGTAAGCACATCTGCGTCCTCCACAAAGTCCAGGCACTATAAATGAATGGCTTGATCATGCTTGATCCAAATGGAGATTTCCTGACATGGAGATCCCCTAAATTTATCATCCATTTTATTCTCGGATTTTCCATTATAAATTATAAACCAGCCATATCACTCTGACCCTGGCGCCAAACAAACGGCCCTTTGACTCAGGTCGGGTGGTCCTCTTTCTTCATGCACTGCTTCGTGTCGCTGTTATAACCTGGCAGGCTCGGGGATAACCTGGCTGATTCTGTGGCTGCTAAAGATCTGGATGGTTTGATATTGAACATTTGGTGTGGGTCTACATGGGGGATCAAATACAGCTACGAAACATCCTGAGATTATATCAGTTTTGAGGAACAGAAACTTGATCCACAGCCTTTTCTTATCTCCCAATTGCTAATCGGAAAGCGCTGCCGCTGTACACCACGAATAAAGGTTTTCCCAAAGCACGGCAACCCTAAAACACAACGGTTAATCGATGTAAATCGCTATCATTTGGGGGGATATCTTCATTGTTTGAATATTATCCTATAAACTAACAGTTCGATGTGAGAAATCAACCATACATGTAGACGATTTTGGGGTTTCCCCACAGGTTTTCCAAATCTCTTCGTCCGTTCCCCGTTTTGTTCGAGTCGTCGATTTTTCTCGGCCATGAAACATCGATCGCTTTGGCATCGGCACAGATAGCCCCTGAAGGTCAGTGAGCATTGCATGCCGGCCTCTTCATCACACATGCGCCGTTTTCCTCGGGTCCACAGGAAGAGTCAACACAAACTGCTTGCGGTTCTTGATGCTGCACAGGGCAACACGCACAGAGAGAAAAAACGTAGATAATCATCGAAGGAAGTTTAGAAGTCAAACTTCTGACCATATGGACAGATGAAAAGCAGAGGTGGTAAGAGTCAAAGAAGAGAAGAGAAGAGAAAAGAGAAGAGAGAAGAGAAGAGAAGAGAGAAAAGAAGAGAAGAGAGAAAAGAAGAGAAGAGAGAAGAGGAGAGGAGAGAGGAGAGGAGAGAGAAGAGAGAAGAGAGAAGAGAGAAGAGAGAAGAGAGAAGAGAGAAGAGAGAAGAGAAGAGAGAGAAGAGAAGAGAGAGAAGAGAAGAGAGAGAAGAGAAGAGAGAGAAGAGAAGAGAGAGGAGAGAAGAGAGAGGAGAGAAGAGAGAAGAGAGAAGAGAGTCGAAAACGAGAAAGGCCTCAGAAGAAAGAAGCATCAGGTGCGCGAAAAAGTAGCAAAGCCCGAAACATTGCGTTTTTCAAAATTTGATTTGTGGCTCCGGGAGGGCCGAAAAGTAGGCTCGCTAAAGCGGCGGGTGCGGGTGGCCAGCTGGCCAGATGAGAGATGAAAAATGCACGCCGTTGTTGGCCGCAAGCACATTTCGAAGTCAAAATTCATTGAAACCAAAAGGTGGGTTGGATTGCTAGTGGATTCCCACAACAAGGTTTTTGGCCACCAGCATCAGATTACAACATATTTTTTGAATTAAAAACAAAATTTTCCATATTCAATCATTTATTTGATTGTATCTGAATTTATTTGACTTTATTTGAATTTTGTTTGCAGTGGGAACCCTCCCCCCCTACTACGCCCCCCGATCCCCGGCACCCCTCCGCCGAACCCGAATACATCCTTCAAATAATAATACCTTCCCCTTCCCTCCCAACCATTACGCCCCCCCCTAAGGCCGATATCTAAGCTTAACAAACCCCCGACTCCTCAGATAAACCACGCCCCCCACAACCCCATCAAATCACTCCTCTCCCCTCTCCTCTCTTCAATGGGGTTATCAAGCAATACATAGCAATACATCATGTGACAAGCAAATGTGTTTTAAATCCTTTCGCCCTAGAAGCTCAACATTTGACAACACAAGGAAATATGATAACAGCTGACAGTTGGGCAGCAATTCTGCCGCTGGCCTCGGCAAAGTTGTTGTAAGGTTGCGTTAGTTTATTTGTTTTTTTCTTGTTTTTTGTTTTTTCCAGCAAATTGGAAAGATTTTGAGATTTGTTTTTGCGGTTTTTTGAGATTTTTTGAACTTTCTTGAGATTTTCTATGGTCCAGAAAAATATGCAATATAGAACCCAGTGTCACAAAACAACGTTTGAAAAACAACATTAGAGAAATGTTGAGATATTTTGAGATTTTTTGATATTATCCATTGTCCTTTTCTAATTTAATTTTATGTGTTTTCCATTTTTTCATTTTTATTCATTTTCTTTTCATTTTTATTCATGTTTTTTCATTTTTATTCATATTTTTTATTTTGATTCATATTTTTTCATTTTTATTCATATATTTTCATATGTTTGATTGGGAAAAAACATTGCCAATCTAGACCACTGCAGATCTAACCTACGTTTTGGTGTTGCTGAAAAATGTACAAAAGACACCATGTTTGGACCACTTTGGGAGGTTGAGATGTCGAAAAAGTGCACGCCGTTTTGGCGCGAAGCACATTTCGAAGTCAAAATGTACAAAGCACACCATGTTCGGACCACTTTTGGAAGTTGAGATGTCGAAAAAGTGCACACCGTTGTGGCGCGAAGCACATTTCGAAGTCAAAATGTACAAAGCACACCATGTTCGGACCACTTTTGGGTGTTGAGATGTCGAAAAAGTGCACGCAGTTGTGGAGCGAAGCACATTTCGAAGTCAACATGTTAAAAACACCAGGGTCCGGACCACGTTTGGACGTTCAGATGTGCTTTGGCGTGGCAGGTGCAAGGGAGTGTTAAAAGTGAGCAAAACGTGAGGGTTTTGTAGCATGTCCAAAAACGATGGCAGGCGTGGGACATTTGAAGAGGATCTGCAAAGATGCATTTTCCGTGGCAGGCGCAGTACAAGAGACATGTTTATGAGAGATGCTAGGAGGTCATCAGATCTTCAGGTTTGCTGAGATGATTTTGCGACCAAATGGTTCGTACCAAGCTATCAATGCCTGAGATCCTAGTCCCATCAAGGATCATGTGCCCATGAACGTACTGACGGCAACTGGATATGTTTGAGCCATCTTCAGTTGGCCAATGATCTATACATGCGTCATTGTTCTACAACACTGGCTGCCAGAGGCTATTGCCAACATGGCTAGTCTTTTCACATCTTGCAGGTGATGATGACCATCCCAAGGTATAGCTTCAGAGCTCCATGAATCACCGGAAAATCTCACCCGCTGACCATTTGGGGATTCCCACTATGACATAATATGACCACACGGATCCTCCAAGTTGGGACGGACAAGTAGTTGAAACAACCAACCAGGTAATATCTTGCTTAGAATTAGTTTGCCCCCGAAGATCAATGACACATATGCACTGTTGAAAGTGGCTTACATGGGTTTCATGTAGACATTCAGGGTGCAAGATGCAACTTCAACCCTGGTTTCACATCGCCCCCTTCCAACTACAGGACTTGTCGTTGTCCAGAAGCTTCCCCAACGCTGGGTACAATACCTAGTTTTGGCTCATAGCCACCAGTATCAACTGATGACCCTGTGGATTGCTCATAGCTGGCGAACCTTAAATTAATGTTGACATCAAACAATGAATTCCTCTGGTCTATCCCTAAAAGGCAATCGTTCATTCACCAGACCCACGTTCAGCATGTCAACATCTTATTCTATAAGCACGCGCACCCAATGCCCAACGAAGAATCAACATTCTTTCCTGCAACTATCTGCAAAGCGTTGCCAATCTTAGATACCATCCAACAAAAACAAGTCTTAGCTGGTTAGGTGAGTAATACACAGTAATACTATACACATTTACATTTGCGACAAAACATCAACAACAAAATCAAACACATACTTTTTAGATCTCTTAGCTGGTGAAGTGAGCGCACCCCTTGAACAACCAAAGAAAGTAGAAGGTGAAGACCCCCCGGTTGGCCTCAAGCTGGTACCCAATCAACCAAGTTATTGGCGTCAACTTAGCTATCGAACAGGGGCCTCACCTTGTAGATATCTGGATACAATGGAAAATATCTTGTAATACAGGTTTTAATGGGACAAAAAAAACTAATCATGGATTTTCCATATCAATGGTCACTTCAAAATGGTCCATAAATGGTCATCTTCAGAGATCACGAAACCGCCCATCTCAGGGGACTTCACGCCATGGAACCGTCCTTACAGCTTCCTGATCGATGGTTGGAACAGCAATACTCTTTCCTCAGTGGTGAAGAGAGATCCAGGCTGAGGATCCTGGTGGTTTGAACAATTCAAATACCAGGTATACCAAAATCAAGCAGAAAGTTCATGTGGTTGGTTAGGAGAAAAAAAACGAAAAAAAAACTCAGACAAAAGCGCTACTTTTTTGGCAAGCCATGATCTGATGACTGAATATATATTGGGTTTTCCTGCAGACTTCCCCTTCCAAGAGTCCAAATCTGAGAAATTTCAGCTCTAACGCCGATTTCTTGGGGTTCCATGTTGCTTCTCCAGTTGATTTGGAGCCCATGTGATTTCTCCTTTCATTTTGGGCTTCTGTTCAATCCTGTGTACTTTGCAATGATAAGCATCAACCATGATCTATCCAATTCTAGATTGATAAACCAATTCATCGTCCAAAGGAATTCTTGCGGGGCACCCTAATCCCGAAGACGAACACTTCGCTTTCTCGCATCATAGGTATTGATGCAACCCCATCTTCAAGCCATGAAAACCGAGACCAAATCGAACATACCAAGAAGATTCAAGAAGATTCAAGAAGATTCAAGAAGATTCAAGAAGATTCAAGAAGATTCAAGAAGATTCAAGAAGCAGGGATGACGTATTTCCATGTATCATCCCTCCATAAGGAGATTTCCAACTCTTTACTTAACATGAAGTGCTCTTTACACCATCCCTCCAGCTATAATGATCCGACATATAAGAAAGAAAATTCTAAGATCCTTGTATTTGTACCCAACCCAGTAAATTATAATACCATTAGGATTGATATCAACTGGAGAGTATATCAACTATTATATATATATATATGTATATTATTATTAATATTATTATTATTATCATTATTGATATTATATTGTACATTGTAAGGATATGTCAACTGGAGGGTTTAATCTCTCCAGTATTGTAACCTCCAAATCCCTCTTCATCAACATAGATAATTATGGAAAATCCATCAGAACGTAGTTGTGCCAGAGGAAATCCATGGGTTTCCATAATGATTTCCACATCTGTGACACTTTGCCGGAACCAAAAATCAATCACTGGATTTCCCGTCCAGGTTGCCAGAAGGGGAACTTACTTGCTGACCACTTGGGATCAATATTGAGGCTAACTATCCAAAAGAAACCCCTCCCCAAAAAAACAAACTGAAAACGACCACAAGTTCCAGAAAGAAGAACCGAGCCAAGCTTCATTTCTCAACCAAGGCCAATATAAAAATACCCTGCAAACAAAAAAATAGCTGGTAAGAAATAAAACAGTATACATACGGTATATGTGTACGTACATACATATCCCATCATACATATCATTAGATTCTAGTTGGCACTACCCTCTCATACCCTAACATAGCTATGGAAGTCCATTGTTTTAAAATGTTTCAACAGGTAAATAATATGTGTATATATATACATATGCATGTTTTATATAACAGGTAAATGATCTATCTATCTATCTATCTATCTATCGATCTATCTATCTATATACTACCAGAGGGCAAGAGTTTAAAGTTCACAAGTAATTAATTAACATTGACATAGATATGGTACACCCACCATTTGTAAATATCAGAATGTTTAATTCGATCAAATACCAAATGGGAAAATCATTAAAGAAGAAAATCCACGATCTTGCCATATGTTTTCCATCTCTACTATGTGAGGCCCCCCAGTTATATACAAGTTGGTTTAGATTCGCCCCAGTAACTATAGTTTTTGCGTACCATAAACCATAGATATGTCAGTTATAAACCAACTTAGATATCTTGGGGCCCTCCATCTCTATGTTACCATCTGGTTATTTGTTACATAGCCATGGAAAATCACAATTTTTAATAGGTAAACCATCTATTTCTATGATCCATCTATACCGTGGCTATGTTAGTCATAACCAGAGGGTAATTCACCCATCCTTTCCGCAACAACTCCCACTCCTTTTAGCTTGGTCGCTCCAACTTGGTTTTGCAGCTGTCACCTCCGACGCTGCTGTTCGTCCACTCCTAGCCGTGGAGGATCACGAAAGAAACCCTTTTGATTGAAAAGGATGCTGACCTTTTTGAGTTGTTCCATATTCTAAATGAACACTGCCTCTTTCAATCAACATTGCACTTCTGTAAAGGGATGCTTGGAAGAAATATTGCATAGATTTCAAGTGGGACACATTGTGCATCTTTTGTAAAAAAAATATGTACTCTGTTTTTTTCAAAGATTTCCTTCTTGGAGGATTTGTGTGGTTTGTGCATGAGTATATGCCAAACTTTGTACAAAGGAGAACTACCTATGTTACATTCACACTTGTTATTCGAGAAGAATATTGGTTTCTAGCAAAATTGCATTTGTTCAAAGAACAGATGTCTCCTGAAAGGACAATGGCACTTCTTCAAAGGAAACCACATGTTTGAAACCAAGTGTGCGTTTTTGCAAGTAATCCTGCGTCCTGTGACTGAAACGTGTGCGTGTGTGTGTGTGTTTTGAATGAAAAGCTGAAGATGTGTTTTCATAAGGTATATGGATCCCAATGCTGACCCCGGTCCTTTCTGACTTGCAGTGATGGAGCATTTTGGCTAGACGTGTTATTGTAGTTTATCTGTATAGTATTTACAATTAAAATTGGCTATATTATTTTAAGCCTCACCACTGATAAACGTATATAAAATTATAGAAGAGATAGGCACTGTAAGGGCCGCTGAACACATATAATATATATATATATGTAATTATTTGTACATACATATCTAATGGGCTAAAAGAAAGGGAAAACAATGGGATATACTGGAATAAAACCAAACAATCAACCAACGATATGATAATGGGGGATACGGCCAGAATTATCAGAGTTGCAAGGGTTCATTCATTGGACAAAATGATATACTATGGGATTTGGGGGCAATTATTTGAGAGACCAAAAGTATCCAATTGTTGGTTTATGTGAACGCGGTCTTAAATTAAACTCAGTCTTAAATGTAGATCGATCTCTGCCATAATCCCATGCAGAGTTTATTCTAACTCTAACCAACTGATCCCACTGTCTGGGTGTGCTGGTATCCAATCTTGTTATAAACCAGATATTAACAAAACCAGATATCCCACTTATTTCCACTCTTGTTTTGATAATATCTGGCTGGTCCAATGCATGGATGGCGGGCATCAACCGAAGGTTCAGCATGTGCCAGCTATCTTCTTAAAGGCCAAACCACGAGCCCTGGCCGAACGGCTCTTGGAATACGAAGAATACGAACTCATTTTTGATCAATCCGGAAGGCAAACACATGGCAAACTTATTAATTCATCTGGGTAAATTATAATATTTCACTCACCTGAATCTTGCGGCCATTTGGGGATGATTCCCCATATAAAAACCATGATTTCCAGGGCTCGGTCGCAGTGAGGTCGTTGTAATTTACTGATTCGCATGATCAACAAATCAGCCACACGGAACGACAACATGGCGGGCATCCCCAGCATGGTCTATGTAGATCTCCGGCTCCAATCGCTACTGTATTCATAGTTTGAACATGTCTGAAGAATACAGTATACAACTTGAAATTTGGAATGCTTGAAATATGTTAAAATAAGAACAGTAAAATTAATATTTACTGTATATATATATATACATATACATATACATACACATATATATATACATCAACATTTTCAAGTTGCTCATGTTCATCTCCATGTACTGGAACCAGCCAAGGCTGCACCCACCCTGGAAATTGGATGGTAATCGACAGGAGACCTCATGACTATATAATGTGAGTTATGTATGTATATGATGTATATGTACGTATGCAAAATATAACTATAGTTGAAGCACCAAGTGATGGATACTGCATGCAATTCGCAATGTTGAAGGGTTGGCAGAAGGTGAAGCAACCCACACTCCCACATTGGCCTGTTCCGAATAAGAAACAACGCTGGGTGACTATGTTTTTGGATCCAATATGTTCCTTAAACAAGAAAAACACATTCTGAATCATTCTGATGTTTTGTTTGAAGAAACATATCTCTTAGACCCATAAGGCCCATAACCAACCGCCGAATTCCTGGATTTCATTGCGCTCTGCCCGCAGTGCGAAGCACGGAATCAGAAGCAACCAGAAATGTTGCAGGGTCCACCTCGGTGATCAATGGTGAAAAAAAATTGCCATACCATAAAGATGGGGAAAACAAAAACATACCACTACTGGTTGGTGGTTTCAATCCCTCTGAAACATATGAAAGTCAATTGGAAGGATTATTCCCAATATATGGAAAAATAAAAAATGATCCAAACCACCAACCAGCACTAATAATGATTGATGGATTTTCAATAAAGTTGCAATTATTGTTTAATGGATTTTCAACTCCCAGCCAAAAATGCCACTAATTGAGTTGTTTCGAACATGTTTTGTCTTCAAACCCTTGCGTACCCCATGTTCAGAGCCAGATCACACGACCCCCCCGTGATTGATCATAGTTTTTGCCATTGACATGCCAGTTTTGGGGCATCGTGTTTTCAAAGCCACACTTCAATATTCGTCATTGGAAGTCTACGAACTGTCCCCAGATTTGCAGCCAGCCCCGGCTGCGCCGAGAAACATGTTGGTAAACAACGGAAAATGTAAACTGACCACGGTTTGATCAGCTTCAGAAGTTGCGGGTTCATTCACACCTTGTCACACAGCACCGTATGTACCATGCTCCAACCGTTGGAAATATCTGGGCCTTACGAGCCATGGCTACTTTCTTACAAGCCCTGGCATAGCCGTCCAAGCATTTTTGCAGCCGCGAAAGCAGGATTCCAAGTAGAAGGAGTAGAGGAGGAGTCTGATAGTGGTGATCAAACCAAATGTTTGGAACCTCTCAGAAAAGTCATCATTGGTGGATTTGAAACCGTGCCACAGTGTTGAAACCGCAGAGTTCCATTCTGTTGGCCTCCGAGACCATGACTGACCAGCATTCTTCTGTTAAATATGATCGAATGTGAAAGGCCCCAGAGAGATAGAAGAAGTAAATTATCACTGTTCTAGTAGTTAGGATTCTACCAAAGTCTATCTTTTTTTTGGAATTGCTACAAGAATAACCAATGAAGATGTCTGGCAATGCGAAACATTATCCAGGATAGGATGAAGGTACTACCTGGGAAACTATGGGCACATATGGGGATTTAATGGAATATAGCATGATACAACTCACCAACTCAATAGGACACACATATATATATATGTAATATATATATATGTATATATATATATATGTACATATATATATATATATATATACATATATATGTAGTATATTATAAGTCGTACCTTCGCAAGTACAACTTCTGAGGTTTTTCTGAATAGGGATTAGCCTTGGATTAGCCTTGGATCCATAGGGCCGGTGTACCCTCCAAATCACACTTGAAAACGTATATTTTAGTGTGAGCGTGATGATATGAAAAAAGGATACTTTAGAGCTACCCAATGTTGAAATCGACATGATTCTAAAATCTAAAATCCCTACCGTTTTAGGGGGGGGCCTCGCCTACTTGTAACTTACATTTAGGGTAGGTAAAACCTTCAAACATGTAACTTTCATTTTCTCAAAAACCCATAAAATCAGTACCTTCAAACATGATCAAACATGTCACGTACATTTAGGGTAGGTCCCTCTGAAATTTGGAGGGACCTGAAACATGTCATATTACAATTAGAAGGTCGGAACTTACATTTTTCACCCTTTACATTTCTTGATTTTGCTACCTTACAGTTTTAAAGTTAATTACAATTAACCCCCCCAACAAAAAGCAGCCCGAGAAATGTAAGCTATATACATTATGTAAGGTCCCGCCAAAAGAAAACTAGGCTAAGGGGGTGGGGACATTCAAAAGATGCATGTCTCCATATCCTGTGTGCAAATACGTTAAACATAGATGCAGAAATTGCCATCCGGCTGGTATCAGTGCATCATATCCTTCCCCCGGCCATCTTTTCACCTCGGTGCGACTCTGAAACGCAAACGTCAATCGTCATCAATCCCCGCGGCAGCGGCGGATTGCTAGGTGATATTGGGATTGATATGGCATCTGCCCAACTTTTGGGAAGATGTGCATGGATGATAGAAGTGCATGATATAAATCAATGTGTACATATTATATGTGATAATTAAAGTAATAACAGTTAGATCCAAACAAGTCTATGTTCTTCAAAGCGTGCCGCACCGCGGAGAGTTCGCTCGACTTGTCATTACACTGCATGATTTATAGGTGCCGTTACGGCAGCAGCTGTGGAGGGGCTGAAGGCGAGTCCTATTTGATTTAAGAAGAAGTCCAAATGTCGATGATGTGCCTAATGGCTACCCCGGATGAATAACCCCCCCGGCTTAGGTCAACAAGGTCAACAATGTTTTTTTTGGTGGTTAAAAAAAAAGCACTCAATTAAATGAAACTCAACTAATTGATGAGGAATCTATGTTGCTTGCATTAGGTGCATGCGAGCATCCATGAAGGGTCAATGTTGTGACAGAGTCAAGGACGGGATGGGATTAGGAAGGAAGGGTCAGTAAGAAAAAATAAAAAAATGCGACCCTGATTAAAAAGCAAAGTGAGCATTCTAAATAAGTACCACCCAAAATCTTGGGGGCCCAAAGAAGCTTATCTAATTGGGAGGGAACACCCTTACTTGGTGGGGTTGAAAAACCACCAATTTGACTTTAGTATTCCGCCAAAATTGGGGGAGATGGGGATCTAATAATCGAATCTAACAGGGGGGGTTGCACATCCTACCAAGGGAAATGACTTGAAATGACTTGGTGAGCAGTGGCTGCAAGTCACCCCTGTTGAATTTATGATTCTATGGGGGTTCACACTGTTATATATATATATACCCTCTGGTAATTTAACATAGCTATTGAAAATGGCCTATTTATAGTTGATTTACCTATTAAAGATGGTGATTTTCAATAGCTACGTTAGTTTACCAGAGGGTATATATATTTATATATGACATGTATCGATGATCACAATCCTCCCAACAGACCAGTAGGGATGACAGAGGCTGAAAAAGGTTTTGAACATAGCTCTGGTGGCTCGTCACCCAACTGTATCGATGCGTACATCAAATTTTTAAGACCGCACAGTAGAGATACATGGAGCATATTGGGTATTTCAAATCCGGCATGCATGGAATGAGTCGTTTTGGAACATCACAGCCAAGCAGTCGATACTCTCGGCAACTCAAGCAGTCGGTCTATGAAACCCTGACGAATCAAGGGGTCAGTATGGGTCAGAGTCCCCAAAAAGTGACATGTTCTTCGGTTGTTCTTCAAGAACGCTTGTACCCTCCAGTAATCAAAGATGGCAACGATTTGTTTGTACAAGCACCGTACTTAAGTCACATCAGGCGGGAAAAGTCACATCATCCCCATGGCACGGCGGCGATACGGAGAAGTCACATCAGGTAGTGGAAAGTCACATCAGGGAAGAAGAATCACCATGGCACAGCCTGTTTCATCCATACTTGGAGATGTAGTTAAAAATAGCCGAAGCATTGCGCACAGCGATGATTTTGAAGGGCACAAGTTAATACAAACAAATTCTCGGCAGCTAATCCTATTGGATTTGAATATATTGTATTGATGTCCTGCGTCGCGTGACCAAATCAAACCCCTATTGGTACAGCCTCAAATTTCTTGCAATGCAAGTGGGTTAGCTGTAGCAAATCCTATTGGCAGGGCTATGATCTAGGATGAAATAAGGATATGGGGGCCCCTTGTTTTCCGCAACCAAATCTATGGCTGGCGCGATGTGCATCAATGTCGTGGACAGCTCTCAAGAAGTTTGTTGTCCTATCCACCCAGGAATTACGAATTGGAAAAAAAACCTTCATTCCATTGCGGGCGGAATTGTCGGTGCTCCGTCTGCGCCGTCTGTTGTGTCTGTTCCGTCTTGCGCCGTCTTGCCGTCTGAGCCGTCTTGCGAGATGGTGCGAGATGGCGCCCATGGTGAGCACAGCGGCACAACCGCGCTATGCGACCGCAATGTTTCATTCCAACCAGCCAGAAACATTCCCTCTCTCTGCTGGTGTCTCCCGCCCGTACCTCCCGTCAGCGCCAAACAAGGCGACCGAGACTGTTATTTTCTGTTTCGGCAAAATGTTTGCACGAGCGGCAGCAGCAGCAGGAGGAAGCAGCAGCAGCAGGAAGCAGCAGCAGCAGGAGGAAGCAACAGCAGCAGGAGGCAGCAGCAGCAGCAGCAGGAAGCAGCAGCAGCAGGAGGAGGAAGCAGCAGCAGGAGCAGGCGGAAGCAGCAGGCAACCAGCAGCAGGCAAGCAGCAGCAGCAGCAAGCAGCAGCAGCAGCAAGCAGCATGCAGCAGCATGCAGCAGCAGGCAAGCAGCAGGCAAGCAAGCAGGCAAGCAAGCAGGCAAGCAAGCAGGCAAGCAAGCAGGCAAGCAAGCAGGCAAGCAAGCAGGCAAGCAAGCAGGCAAGCAAGCAGGCAAGCAGTGGGCAAGAAAGCAAGAAAGCAGCAGGCAAGAAGCAGCAGCAAGCAAGCAGCAAGCAAGCGGCAAGCAAGCAAGCAGCAAGCAAGCAGCGGGCAAGCAGCAAGCAAGCAAGCAATCAAGCACGCAAGCACGCAAGCGCGCAAGTACGCAAGCACGCAAGCACGCACGCACGCACGCAGGCACGCAGGCACGCAGGCAGGCAGGCAGGCAAGCAAGCAAGAGCAGCAAGCAGCAAGCAGCAAGCAGCAAGCAGCAAGCAGCAAGCAGCAAGCAGCAAGCAGCAAGCAGCAAGCAGCAAGCAGGCAAGAAGCAGCAAGCAGCAAGCAGCAAGCAGGCAAGAAGCAGCAGCAGCAAGCAGCAAGCAGGCAAGAAGCAGCAGCAGCAAGCAGCAGCAAGCAGCAGCAAGCAGCAGCAAGCAGCAGCAAGCAGCAGCAAGCAGCAGCAAGCAGCAACAAGCAGCAGCAAGCAGCAGCAAGCAGCAGCAAGCAGCAGCAAGCAGCAACAAGCAGCAGCAAGCAGCAGCAAGCAGCAAGCAGCAACAAGGAGCAGCAACAACAGGCAAGCAGTAGGTGAGCAGTAGGTGAGCAGCAGGTGAGCAGCAGGCAAGCAGCAGGCAAGCAGCAGGCAAGCAGCAGGCAAGCAGCAGGCAAGCAGCAGGTAAGCAGCAACAAAAAGCAGCAACAAAAAGCAGCAACAAAAAGCAGCAAGCAGCAGCATGGAGCAGCAAGCAGCAGGCAAGCTGCAGGTGAGCAGCAACAGGTAAGCAGCAACAGGTAAGCAGCAGCAAGCAGCAACAAGCAGCAGCAAGTAGCAGGCAAGCAGCACGGAAGCAGCAGGCAAGCAGCAGGCAAGCAGCAACCAGCGTTTGCCTCCTTGAAAGAATGATCAAATATATATTTTTTAATCAATGTAATAAAAAAAATTGAACTTTTTCCAGCCGCACGGCCCCAAAACAATGAAATTGTTCAATTACTAAAAGTTGTGGTGATGCCAAACTTGAACTTTTTCCAGGCGCACGGCCTCCCGATACGACTTTTACAAGCTGATACGACTTAACGCTAGCGCTAGTAGTTGTAGATGATGCTGCCATTGAATTTCCGTCTTAGGGTATATTAAAATCAATCCAGGAAATTTATGATGGGCTGACATGATGCAGTCGAAGCTTTGGACTGTTATTTCAAGGGTTGGGAAGTGACAAAACTTTGGGCTGTGTAAACTTGGATCATCCTGTTCCCAATCAAACTTGCCATCTTGAGGTATCCTCCGTTTGCCAAATCCAAAAACTTGCTTCTTGTCAAAAGCCGCGAAGAAGTTGCAAAAATCTGCAAATACAACTCCAAGATTCAGTATCCGAAAGGCCTCATGCTGACTCAGGCTAAATCTCTCACAATCCAGAAACAACTCAATCACAAGGTAGGCCAATCCAGAAATTGGCAGTTGAACATCCCTCCACACGCAGCGCCGTAGATGCACGATTGAGTAGTGAAACAGAGCCAGCCCCGCTGCAGCCAAACGCAACCTAGTTTGAGAGACTAGTATTGTGACCTACCTAGACGCTCCATTGAACTAATATTAATATAGATATATTATATATTCTTATTTATTGCCGTCAAAACGCAGAAATTGACTACTTTCATCCACTCCATTGGACTAATATTGATTGATATTGTGGTATCAAAACGCAGAAATTGAGTACGTTCATCCCCTTGCCAAGGGTCACTGTATGACCGCACAGTATGCTCTAAGCTTAGGGATAAAGATAGGAATGCAGGAGGCACAATCACCAGGGCTATCAAGGGCTAATGATTAACATGCGATCTCTGAAAACTTCCCCTGTGGTAATTCATCATAACTAGCTATGGAAAAAACAACAACAATGAAAACCACATTTTTTAACAGGTAAATAAAACTATCAATGGGCTGTTTTCTGTAGCTGTGTTGTATAATCAGAGGATAATTATCTAATGCCATCACAAATGTGTTTGCTGCAACATGGCATGAAGTCTCTCGAGATGTCTGTCGGCTTCAGCAACGACTCGAAAGCACGCAACCACACTCGTGCAGGGGCCGTGTCGCGGACACGCCCGATCACGCGGGTGCGAAGCAGTGCGCCATCCTCTGCCACAGATGCGTCACGAGCACCGGTGGCCCTATATCTACGCTTCAGTGCCACCTTCAGCTGAGATTTCGATGGAAACATGTCTAAAAACATGGTGAATGGTGAATCAAGAAACATATAGAATCATATAGAAACATATAGAAACATCATCTCAACTCATGATCAACATTGATAGCACCACATAGAATCCATCATGAATCCAGCGAAGGAGGCCCAAAGTTTCCAGCCTCGATTTTCACGGCTCCAACCCTCAGGAATGCCGAGATGTGGCCAAGCTGTATGGGACCAACGCGGCAACATATCTCAACAAGTCTCAACCAATTCATAGACCAAGGGTGACCAAGGGATGCTTTGAACCTGGAGGTAGCTGCTGGCTGCTAGCAAGGACATGGATTTCATGTGGACGAGTTAGAAGAATTCCATGGAATTCTTAGGCCGCTGATTTTGTAAATGATGATCTTAAAGACGTTAACTACATCTAAAATATTCTAAAATACATATTTTTTAAATTGGTTTAATATACGAATTGTCTTTAAACTACCTCCGGGAAGGTTTTCCTTGGCCCGCCCTCCACATATTTAAGTGTCGTTACCACATGATAATTCCAAACCATCATTTGTGGGCTTTGGTCCGTCATCTAATTCCATTACGGTGCTCATCAGATGAAGACAAGTCCATCCAACGACACTCATTCATCAAATCATCCAACTTGATGATATATAGTGAGTGTAGGTATAAACATGGTTAATCATGGTTAATCCATGTAAAAAAAAATGCATACCCTTCATTTGTGTTTCGAAAAAAACGCTGCTTTTCTTAAGAGAAACTCGGTAGCCCATGAGTTTTTCATAGTTTTTCCGCGTCAGCTCAACAGTCTTTGGCCGTAGGCTGATTCGATCCGACCCCCGCCGCACCAGCGCGGTGATGAGACCATGTAACCGAGTCCCGAGAAACTGCGAGGAAAAACTGGTGGTATAATATGGAAAATCACAGAAATTGAGGTTGAATGAGAACTAAATTGGAAAATTTCCAGCACTGATTTCCGGAGGGCAGCTGGATCATGCTGGATCCATGTTCAACCAAGTTGTAATTGGATTACCATTAATTTCTCTTCGTAATCTAGATGTCCACAAAAGGCTTAAGGTGTTCACATCTATGCAGCTAAATACCCATGCTACGATTGACCAAGGATCTCCTAGGAAAGAGGCTTCTAACATCTGTTGCCTGAAAAACGGCGTCCATGGTGCTGGACGCAACCATCCAATTGTGAACCATCGACCGTTTTTGAGACCTACTATTGAGACCGAACAGACCAAATTATAAACACGGTAGATATTCAAGAAGTGAACGTTCAGTCGGATGTGAACAACACTCTCAATGCTTCACCAAAATTTGCCCAGCAGAATGCAAGCGACATTGGCGACCTAAAATTCTAAGGTGGGATCAATAAACCTCTGGTTTATTAATATGTGGACACCAATTTTCTACAGCAATTATTGTAATCAGAGTTTTTTAGGGACCCCACTGATCGATCAACCAGGCTTATGAACTATCTGGACCTTGTCGGACCTGGAGGTGATGCCTTTCTGCAACCGTACCCCCAGTATGAATCTAGGATGCAGTTTTTTGATATAGCCATATAGTGTTATTCTAGGATTAGCATGCAAAAGCTATAACAGTTCACCTTCACCCCGGTGAGTTGTGCATACCTTCACCAGTCTATCCAAAAAATGACCCATCGTTGCTAGTTCAATCGCACTTTTGCTGGTGACTTAACCTATATATACTGATTGTACCATATTGTGCTTAATTACCCTCTGGTAAACAAACATAACTATGGAAAATCACCATTTTTGATGGGTAAATCAACTATAACCGGGGTATGTTCCAATAGCAAACTGTTAAATTACCAGAGGGTACCTATAAATGAGGTATTTTCAATAGCGGTACCCGTCCTGGCTTCGATCTCCCCTTGGTGAACTCCCGATCTGCGGTGAAAAGTTGCTGGTTTCAACGGTTTTCTATACAACTCTTCACTGGTTGGATCTGGTTGGTTAGGGAATGAGATTCCAAGTTTACGGATTCATGGATTAGAATCATCCCCACATATCCCGAACATAGATATTTAGATGGGGGATGATGGGGGATTGTTCATTGATTATCATCCCCACAGGGGATATCTAGATCGGGGATACAACCAACAGGGGATATTTCTGCCCTCGAAGGAATTCTTCAACCAAGCTCCGGGGTGTCGGTTACACAGCTGCGAGCGCATTGGGCGCTCACTGCCAACCCTGCTCAGGCACTGGCTTGGCCTGGCGCAAAATTCAGTGGCCATGGCCTGGAAACGATGAAAAATGGAGCTACCTACGTGTTTTTTTATGGTCTATGTAAGGGGATATACCATGATATACCCCAATTTCTATGTCTTTATATGCTACAGTACCTTCAGTCCTTCAGTTAGGTACCTGAAATGGCCATTGATGGGGCCCTAGGTCGGAATCGCTGCGTTGGCTTCGTGCAAGGGACACGAAGTGTTGACAGAATGCTTCCCCAGATTCACGATGAAAAATGGTGATTCCTTGTGCAGTATTGACTCAATCTAAAAGTTTACACAAACAAAACTATGTATATACACGCAAGATGTATGTATATATATATATACACACATACACATACATATGGGGGTTGTGCTAAATTCTTTTGCACGAAAATGGCTCTTGCTCCGGCCTTGGCCGAACCTTGCGCGTTTCTTGCGCAACCACTGTCCCGTTTGACTTTTTGGTTGAGCATATTTTCGTGCCCCGTTTTCGTGCTCGTTTTCGTGTAGTTTCCTAGTGTGTATAGATTTATCCATCCACTTTGAATTGATTTCCTTTAAACCCAAAAGGAAATCAAAGGATAAGCAACATGTTCAACTCATGTGCGTGTCCGTGTATCTTCTCAGAAAATATAACTTCCTTTTGTTTTACTTACACATTGTATTTCCATTTCCATGTGTTTTTGACAGGGCGGCATGGACTACAGGTCAACTTTGGACCTGAAGTGTGCGCGTTTCTTTCGCGAAGCTTGCCCGAAGCTTGGGCTGAAAAACTCTCTCTCTGACAGGATTGTTACTCATTGTTGTTAACCTACATTCTAGTTTACCTACGTGGGGGCTTGAGCACAGGAATGCATGAGACAGCCAATATCAGCCAATGCTACAAATACATAAATTAGATGTAGAATAGCCACACAAAACTTACGAAAACATCTTTAAAGAAACAACATTAATAGATTATCCATAGATTAACCATGGATTATCCATAGATTAACCATGGATTATCCATAGATTAACCATGGATTATCCATAGATTAACCATGGATTATCCATAGATTAACCATGGATTATCCATAGATACCCCTGGATTATCTCATAGATTAAACCATGGATTATCCATAGATTAACCATGGATTATCCATAGATTAACCATGGATTATCCATAGATTAACCATGGATTATCCATAGATTAACCATGGATTATCCATAGATTAACCATGGATTATCCATAGATTAACCAATGCATTAGCCATATACTTAACAATGGATTACAAAAAATAGATTAACCATGGATTATCCATAGATTAACCATGGATTATCCATAGATTAACCATGGATTATCCATAGATTAACCATGGATTATCCATAGATTAACCATGGATTATCCATAGATTAACCATGGATTATCCATAGATTAACCATGGATTATCCATAGATCAACCATGGATTATCCATAGATTAACCATGGATTATCCATAGATTAACCATGGATTATCCATAGATTAACCATGGATTATCCATAGATTAACCATGGATTATCCATAGATTAACCATGGATTATCCATAGATTAACCATGGATTATCCATAGATTTACCATGGATTATCCATAGATTAACCATGGATTATCCATAGATTAACCATGGATTATCCATAGATTAACCATGGATTATCCATAGATTAACCATGGATTATCCATAGATTAACCATGGATTATCCATAGATTAACCATGGATTATCCATAGATTAACCATGGATTATCATATTAACCATGTCCGGTGATACCATGGATTATCCATAGATTAACCATGGATTATCCATAGATTAACCATGGATTATCCATAGATTAACCATGGATTATCCATAGATTAACCATGGATTATCCATAGATTAACCATGGATTATCCATAGATTAACCATGGATTATCCATAGATTAACCATGGATTATCCATATTATCCATAGATTAACCATGGATTATCCATAGATTAACCATGGATTATCCATAGATTAACCATGGATTATCCATAGATTAACCATGGATTATCCATAGATTAACCATGGATTATCCATAGATTAACCATGGATTATCCTATCCTACAGACTTTCCCAAAAGGGCAAAACCTTGGGCCGGCCCGCCTTGTAACCGAAACGCCAAAGCGTTCGATGCGGCGTTTCGAAGTTAGCTAGCCCTTAAAGTTCTCCACAAAGCTGCTTAAACTAAATGTGAATATAGGAGGGTTTCAGAACGATCCCTACATACATATGGGTATGGGTCAAAATTAGGTACCCCAATAATTGGATGGTTAATACTAAACTAGACATTCACATCTGTGGTCCCCTAAGTTTTCCATTTTGACCCACATCCATATAAATATAAGTAGTATGAATATACAAACACATGTAGCCATGATGGTGTAAGTGTTCAATGACTGGGGTCACACCCAAAATGCAACGTTTATCTCACTAGCAAGCCTTGTCACGGGGCAAGGCCTCCCGGAAGGTGTGATACTTCTTAAGCAGGCTTCGTGCAGGATTCTTCCGCATGCTCCATGTGATGAAAAGTGCTACTGGTATGACATACATGACAGGACATGTTTTGGATCAGTTATATAGTTACTGTAACAGTCCCTGGATGATTTTGAATGAACTTGTGTCCTTTGGGGCCTCTCAATACAACTTGTGCGATATAATTTGTTTAATTTACTTCTGGCTTCCGGTGTCACCTACTTTGACCATTTCCTCCGCACATCCTAGTATTCCGGACCATAGTTGATAGATAATTTCTCATCGTTTTTGCTTGCGAAATATTGCTGATGTATTGCTGGCTCTGGTTTTGTCGCAATTCTTTGATGGTGATACCGCAGTGTTCTGCTGCTTGTACCAATTGTGCCATGTGGATTCAGGGCGTATGGTCGTCCCAGCATCATTAAGGAATCCTGATAAATCAATCCTATTAGTGAATCAAACTTCATTCTGGGTACATAACCAACTTTGACCATGGCACAAATGGTGTGGAGTTGCTACACACCCAAATACTATAACAACCACCTATATATATATACACTGTATATACATATATATAGATACGTATATATTGCTGGTTGCTGGTTGTAGTGATGTTTGATGATATCATGTTAACTTTGTGAATGACACATATATAACGCATGCCCATTTATCAATATACTATTCAATATACAGTGTATGTGTCTACCTAAACTGCCATATCCCAAGCAAAGAAGGTCTCGCAAAACATCCGACTTTTTAGTCAAAACCTTGTTTTCTTTTGGCTGCATTAGTGGCAGCTTTTGACACTGTTTGTTTTTCACGTTTTTGTTGCAGATTTGCGTTTTTTTGATGGCTTCTCAGAAACCAGATGTTCATCCAAAAGCATGTTTTCAGTACCAACACCTGTTATGTTCTTCCATTCTCTTCTGCTATCTCCATGATATTCTGGTTGTGGGTCGGTTCAGCCACCATTGGACCACATCTCACCACATCTCGATGTTGCTCTGTTCCAATTCCATTCAACCACTGATAGTTACGCAAAATGGTTGATGATTCAATATCTCATGAATGTACACAATGGTTGATAAACTCCATTATCGTAGTTGATAATTCACCATCAAACCCCCAATAAGTCAGTTTAAACATCATTAAACCAATCAAAAAACAATTGAGAATTCACCATTCCATATGATTGATTCACCACATTGAACTATTGAACCTTTAACAATATGGGTTTCACATGGTTTCACGGCATTGCACCTCAGCCGCCACACCGTTGCCAAGGTGCCCGCCGTGGCCTAGGTTTTTAGCATGTTCTGGCACCAAAGCAGACATGTCAACATTTGAACCAACCAGAACGACAGGTATCCACCAGAAAATGCTGGGTGATCATCCGGCAGACTTCGTACAGTACCCAGAGTCGAATGGGACCCCAGGGGGGAATGGAATCCTGGCAAGGAGGAACTTGCGGAAGAAAAACATCTGGCAGCTTCGAGTTCGGACAAAGTCGTATCAAACCTGAACGCCACTGGGGTTTCTAAAAAAAACAGAAAATTCGCAACCAGATACCCTCTGGTAATTTAACAGTTCACTATTGAAAATGACCATAGCAATAGTGGATTTTCCCATCAAAAATGGTGGATTTTCAATAGCTACGTTAAATTACCAGAGGGTAAGTGCCATTAAATCCCATTGAATCCCATTAAACCACCATTTTCCTATGGTTTTCCTATGGTTTTCCTATGGTTTTCCTATGGTTTTCCTATGGTTTCAACCATAGTTTCGAACAAATTGCACCATTTCTGCAACAACGTTCGCCACGGGGCTGGAGGACTTCTCTTCTTCACCCTTGGACCTGGAAGGGGTAGAAGGTCTCCGGCATATGGGATCTAGATGGATCTTAGCATATTTCATAGGGAATATATATATATACTTATACTATGGGGATCAGGGGATATCTATCATGAAATATTTTTATGATAGCTAGTAGATCCTGGAAAATCATAGTTATCATAGTGGCAGATACATCCCCATCATAACCAAGTGATTGGACATAGGCGTTGAACAATGCAACTTTCTGGGCGACCATTACAGTAACTTCAGCTCATTGGATCCAAACATGTTTAGACTCCAAGAACTAACAATCCTGTCTGGTGACATAAGGCAACGTATTTGCTAATATATATACATATATATATATATATATACATACACGACATTGCATATATATAATACATATATATATACATAATTATATATATATATATATATATGTATACGTAAATATTTATAATCATATATATATATAATTAATATATATGTATATACGTATATATATATATATAATTATATAAATACGCACAATAAAACTACTCAAAAACACCCTGGTCACTCTGGCGCCTTCGACGATTCGGCTTTCGGCTCTTGCCGGACGCATCAGGTGGCGCCTCACCATGGGTGCTATGAAAATTTTCAAAAAATAGGAGGTTTATGAGTTGGATATCTAACTTTGATGACTGGTTGGTGGTTGAGCCACCCCACTGAAAAATATGAAAGTCAGTTGGGATTATTCTTCCCAATATATGGAAAAATACAAAATGGTCCAAACCACCAACCAGATGAGGTTTAATGGGAAAAATAGTTATTGGAGGAGGTTGATTTTCTTTGGGTCTGTCATTTTGATCCCTCCCTTTAAGAAAATACCCCCAAACGAGACCTTTCCGAAAAAGAACGTGGAGTATGTAGATTCAAGTTTCAGGTGACGGATTATATTATACATGTGATCATATATATATATATGCATATATATATATACAGTATATATATATATATATGCAACATGCCTATCATTGAAACTAATGGGTTCTTGAACAATCGCGATTCCTACGTCCCATCACCCTGGGCTGCAGGATGCAGTCACCGCCTCGAGTTCAGGTCTCTTTGGGTTCTGCTTCAGTTCCTGTGGCGCCCCTTGGTGTTCTGAGCCTGCTTTCCGGGAACCTCGAAACCAATATTGTTTTCAATAAAGGTGATAAGAATAATGTTTTAACATGTTTTAACCATGATTTTCATGATTAAAACATCTATATCTAAAACACAAAGTTCGTGATATCTAGACATATACCATGACATACCAACAGAAGAAAGGATACAGTATGATAGGAAGAACATACATGGCCATAGGTTTACCAGTTTCACCAGGGACATCTCAGCCTCTACGGATCCCCTATGAACCTCAAACGAGAAAAGTCATCTGTGGGAATCTGAACATTTAAGGTGTCCGATTCTGTAGAAAATGGAACCATAATTTGAGACTGAACAAAATGAAAACGATGCTTTCGGGCAAACGGGAAGGGAGACTTTCTCCAGAAGTGGTAGCTTATTTCCTCAGCTTTGTAATCCTTACCGTCCTGGGCAACCAGCCCAAGTCTGTGCCAGGAAACAGTGAGATGCTTAAAACCTCATGTTTCCCACTATTCGATGGATGTAAAATGGAGACCAATATCTAATTTCTGGGAAAGCCCCAATTATATTACATCTCAGTTGGTTCTATCCAATGTTGAATCTAGATATACCTATGCACATATACATATCATTATATATCATTGAACTCCTTTCCCATATGAGCCATGTATGGAATATTTAACAACATTCACAGCAAAAATCCACCAAATGCCAGTAAATACACCATACCTGGAGCATATGGCTTTTACATCCCAACAATACCAACTATACTGTAGTATATGCCTAGTATATGCATAGTATATGCTTCATGTTTGGATCATCCTAGATACACCGGGGATGTTGCAGAGGCCCAGCCTCGGGCAGCCGATGAAAGGCATCCAGACACGAGGGACCCAAGCAGAAGAGAGGTCGTTTCAACCTGGGAGCCGTACGTTGAAAAAACACAAACCCTGGCAGTTTCAGGGAGAAAAATGCAATATTTATTCATGACAAAAAACCTTGAGATTTTTCATGGGATTGAACTCCCCCCCAAAAAAATGGAATCCGACTTCACTGGCAAATTCTGCGGCTGGTTGGTGGTTGAACCTGTGGATTTTTTGTTGATGATTCAGCTAGTGAAAATAACAAACAAAAATTGGGGGGTATGACGAACAATACCTGGGGACATAAAGAGAACTAGCCTGATCGATGGTTGAGCCACTCTCCTGAAAAGAATTGTCATTTCAAATCCTCATTCCAAATTGGGTGGTAGAAGAAAACAACACTACACCGCCGAGTAAAGTGGCAGATACACAAGATTATGTTTCCGCAAGCAAAAGCAAGGGCTTGTCGACCACTGTTCAATGTTGTTTAGCTCCGGCCTGTTCAGATGTTCAGAACATTGTGTGGTGTTTGTCCAATTTTTCGTGTAAAAATCCAGCAGCACACAGCATTGTAGTGATCTTTTTAGGCTTGATGTTCATTGGATAACGAAGCGTTTGCGAAGCAGAACATCACCATGTACTGGGACATCTCTACCATATATGCCAATATATAGCCAATATAGCCTCTGGTTTTTTTTAACAGTTCGCTATGGAAAATTCGCACCATCTTTAAGTTCGGTAAATCACCTATTTCGATTAGGGACAGAGGGATGTGAAGCCCTGGTGGATTGGCTGGGGCTCCTGGAGTGCCACATAGCTATGGTTTTTTGATGGTATAAATGGCCCATAGAAATAGTGGATTTAGCCATGAATATATAAGCATGGCGATGTTCCAGAAAGTTTTTTTTGCATGTTTACCGGGTAAATATCATCAACCTGGATGTATCAATCTAGGGTTGGCATCTGTCGAAGGTTCCACCGTCAGATTTGACACCCCGTGGGGTAGGTACCAGTTGAAGCAGCTCAAAACTTTGGATTCTCCATATGTGGACCGTTAAGCAACAGTAACCATGTAGGTCAGCTCTACCCACCAAGGGCATCTGCTATGACAGTTATGCGGCAATGTTCTACTTTTTTGGTGCAGTCCAGTTAGTCAGACTGGGTAATAACCAATAAAGTACTGAGGTAGATCCCACATATAATAGCTTGGAGTATGGTCATGACATGTCATGACCCAACTAGTAACTAAAATCCACATCTGATTGACTGAGATATCAAAGATATAACCCACAAGCCCTCATTGAACATATAGCAGCTATAGCACTCCAGAACCAACTCTTTTCCATAGAATCCACCTTTTGAACATTGCCATAACAGGGCTACTAGTTATGTAAACAGACCAAAACAAGTGGGTCATATAGTCCATTCATCCCATGTATAATGATTATCCATGATCCCATTATATACCATCAATTATTTCTTCATTAAACATATAACGTGTTATTTTCCGAAAACATATCCCACCAATTTTGGAGCCTCCAACCAACTATCCAACTGGATTTTAGCATGATTCACAGGGTTGCTCCGACCCCACCCCAGATTCACGTCCCAAACAAAAAGTGGCTACGGCGGCTACGTTTCGACGCATCCAAGTGGAGGTAACCATCATGTTCCATCCAACCAATTGGAGTTGATCATTATTAACCATCAATTTTATTTGGGAAAATCCGTGTGTATATATATATATATATACAACGCCTATCACTATGATCATGATTATTCTAATTATAACTATAGCTCACTATCAACCGAACCATGATTACTAGCCTTTATTAACAATTATGAGCCATAATGGACCATTATTTCATGTCATATGAACAATTATATGTAGAAACCGTTGTATCAACCACTATATCAAGCAGTATCAGCCATTCTATGAACTTACAACCACTACCCTCTGGTAAACTAACAGAGCTATAGAACATCTACTTGTAGTTCATTTACCTATGAAAATCTAAGAACATAGGGATCTTCCATAGCTATGTTAGTTTACCAGAGGGTATATGAACCATTATTTTGTTACATAGCTATTGAAAATGGCCATACAAATAGATAATTTTCCCATGAAAAATGATGATCTTCCATCGTTTTTGGTATGTTTACCAGAGGGTAACCATCCATTCTCCGGCAGATGCTTCCAGGCTCCCACCGTCGAAGCCAAGCTGCGGATCTTGAAGATCCAACTGGCTGAGCTGCGGAAGCCTCGGTGACGGGGAAAAAAAATGCTGTCTTTTATGGAACATATAATCTGGGTAAATTATAATCTGGGGATATTCCCTTACATAGGCCTAAAAAATAGGCCTTATATATGGTAGGGATCTCCAATGAATCGTTTCCTGAGATGGCCAGTGATCATTAATATGGTACTGTACTGTAATGGTACTGTAGTCATTAATCATTAACATTACCACTAGTCATTATATGGTACTGTAATGGTACTACAATGGTACTAATGTAATCATTATATCTGGGTAAAACGACCTCACTGTTCTCCCGAACCCTGGAAATCATAGTCAGTAAGGGACATCCCCAAATGGCCGCAAGATTCAGGTTGGTGAAATATTACAATTTACCCAGATATAATGATTACATTAGTACCATTGTAGTACCATTACAGTACCATATAATGACTAATGGTAATGTTAATGATTAATGACTACAGTACCATTACAGTACCATATTAATGATCACTGGCCATCTCAGGAAACGATTCATTGGAGGTACCTACCATATATAAGGCCTATTTTTTAGGCCTATGTAAGGGAATATCCCCACAAAATATGGCCTTATATGGTACAGTACCTCCATTTTAGGATCCTGGAATTCCCATTGACATTAGTACCATTATAGTACCATTACAGTACCATATAATGACTAGTGGTAATGTTAATGATTAATGGTTTAATGGTAATAGTTGATGGTAATGATTCCCACTATAATGATTAACATCGGTGATTACATATATTAATGGTACATGTTAATATTATTACATTATTATATCTATATATAGTATATAATATAATGAATATAGTAATGTTAACATAATTTTCATAATATATTAATATAATGAATATTACCATATAGTACCATTAATTCTGTAAATATGTTTTTCATCAATGTAATTGTAAATGTTCATATTACATCAGTATCCTGTATATATATATATATATGGAAAATCATTGGGTAATAGACGGCATGTATATATATATATATATAGCCATCTAAAATGGAACAACATAATAAGGATAATAATAAACGTATATAATGGTACAACATGGTACATATCCTCTGGTGATTTAAGATTATGAAACATGGCTGTTCAATGGGTTTTTAATATGAGGGTGAAGTCACGGATCAGCTTCCTGGATACAAAAAAAACTCCACAGTCTCCCCTTGGGACATTCATGTCAACATCATATCTGTATATATATATATATATGCCATAGTACTTGGAGGGTCAAGAACATAGATAATCATTACACCATCTATTAAATATATATTTATATAGATTAACATAATAGGATCTTTAATCTTAGTTTTATGACACCATATCTATAAAATCTATAACATCTATACGCATCTTTAATATTGCGGCGCTCACTGGGACGCTGTCGCTCTGAGACTTTCACTGCGCGCGGTGCTCGCCGAGATCAAATCGACCTGCCAAGATGACCCGTTGATGGTTGCTATTGAAGGCTAAATAATGGTTCAATCATGTTCAATCATGTGTATATATATATAGTATACATATTATATATATATATATGTTGATGGTTGATATTGGTTAATGATGGTTGATGCGTATCTATCTACAGTACACATTGATTCAGCTATATGTTCCTGTACATGGGATATTCGGTTGTACACTGGAAAACCGAGACCGAAAATCCAGGAGATATCCTCCAACTGCTTGGGGATCTTGGGGTTATGAATTGCAATAAATCCCATAGGTTGGGATATAACTCCTATCACCCACGATTAACCACTTTTTGGTAGAACCCCTGAGTAGTGAGACACTGGAACATTTATTTGGCCTCTGACATGTCACATCTGTGGGGCGATTGGGGGTGACCTCATGCCTAACTCCCCGCAAAATCCAGAATCCCAATCACTTATTATATTTTGGCAAACCCTCTTTAAAGTGGCTACTTTTGAACCAACTCCTCACTTTTTTCATGGCTTCCAGTGGCTTCCCATCTTCCAGGTTCAATGGATTCAATGCACCTTTTTCACAGTGATCTGGCCAATCTTAGACACTACTAAGCACAAACTTCATATTTTGATTGTCAGTTGGGCATGACATGGTATGGTAAGACTCAGCAGTAACTTAGAATTGAGGATCTTCCATGTTCAGCAAGCCGCCTTAAATCAACTTTGAGCAACCCAACACGAATCAACGTTAATCACCATTAAATCAATATGAAACAACCTATTGGTGCTTAAAAAAATATCAATTTGACATCTAGATTCTCGGGGGCGGCCCTGAGGTTCCGCACGTGGAAAGTAGAGGTCCAGCGCCTGGATCACGGCATGTCATGTCTTAGGATATGAAATGATATTATGGGGAGTATACGTATAGTTAATACAATGGAAAATGGGGAGTATATAAATAAATAATAATAAATAATCACGGAGAGTTTATCATTAGTGGACATATTCTTGGAATCTTGAAATACACATGGGAACATCATCGAATCTACATGTCTAGCTCGGACAGCAAGCCATCGTGGAGCTGATTGACACCAGGCTACCCTGGAAAAAAACAAAAAGACTGCACAGGTTTACCCATGAAGTGAAGGGGTTCAGGGAGACTTGGTTAATGTGTTGTTAAACCAAACAAGCTGCTGAGATAGCGAAGAATCGATGGAAATGATGTACGCCACTTAAGAGGGTTTCAAGATGTTTCAAGGGAGGCGCGAAAGGAATGGCTAAAAACAACAACCACATATGTTTTTTCTTTTTTTGTTTAACCTGTAGTTGAAGGGAGTAAGGACTTTGCCGAAATGATATGAACACTATGCAGTTCACCAGGCTATCCAACGAGGAGATTTTTTCTTCCCCAATGCGGAGGACTTGGATTGCCTCCCCCCAACTAGAATGCGTCCTGATAGCTCCATGGGAAAAACAACAATTATATACTTTCCCAACTAGAAGTTAATCAACAAAAACACATTTAGTATATTTAATATCATCTTCATATCATCCAACTAATCTAACTATAGATATGACTCATGGATACTCATGGTGGTTTCCTGTTAAATGAAAGATCCCAAATAGTTCGGGTTTCAATGGGTCCAATGGTCATGGTCGGTCCACTGGGCCTCAAAGAAGGCTGTCACATCCGTGGGCAACTCTTTTGACCTTGGGGATCCCATGGGCAACTCTTCGTCCGGAAAATGGCTTTGTTGAACCCCAACATGTTATTCTTTTATTGGGAAAATGATGGCTACTATATGGCATATAGTACTACTTACTATAGTATCTGTTTTATAGGGAAAATATATATGATTACCCATCGATTTATGGCTACATAATTTTCAAACAAAGCCATTTGAAACCATCAAGCAGATTGTGACGTCGTTTTTTTTTAATGTCATGTGATGTCCTGATAATCTGGACAGAACAAATAGCTTTCTTGATAGGGGTCACAACCTCAGTACCCTGCTCTTCAAGATGTTTACATGCACATACATATACATGTATACATATATACTACTAGTAATATAATACATACATAATATATACACACATGTATGTCATTGTATGTCTATATGCGTATGACCATGTATGTCTGGGCAATTTGGACAGGAGTACACGTACTAGTCACATCATGAATAGTGAAGTCGCCCTTTAAGGTCGCCCTTGGCATCACAGGAACTTGCATGATCAACAAATCACAGCGTAAAAAGATATGGTTCACTACGGTAAACTAACATAGATGTGGAAAATCAAACATATGTTGGCTATTTTCCTGGGGAAAACCACGGGTTCTCCACATCTATGTTAGCTGACCCTCGGGTAAAACATGGTAAAACTAAACGCATTCATTGTAATTCCAACATGTTTCCTCTATCAAGGCTATACAGTTTTTCCAACTCAATTTTGAAAGAATCACGTAGCTGAAATTAAGGCAACATGCTGGGCTGGGTTTCCCTTGCCAACCATCATTTCTAGAGACGTTGTGATGAGGTCGTTACAATTCAGCGAGATCTATCCATTAATTTGAAGCAAACTTGCCAGGAAGGGGCCCCTTGTAAGTAAACTGGTTTACAGTTAGGTTGACCATCGGATGTATGGTGGATACGTAAATCCGGGACCTTAGAATTGTGAAAATCCACAATTCCAACATATATCTAAATCACTCAGAAAATCCACAAATTCCTTCCCTTCTGTTGTTTTTTTTTTTTCGACAAATAAAATCATCGTTGAAGATGGCGCGCTCGATGGCTGTAGCTCCACCAAGGTGCATCAAAATTCGCAACATGTAGCTGAAACAGTAAAGGCCATTGAACCTGTGCGGAGGCAGATGGTTTGGTTCCGAAAATGGGGACCCCTACGAATCACAACTGGGGAAGAAAGTTCCACTGATAAGTTGTTACTTGTTGCTTTGTAACCATATTCATAGCGGATATCTCTACATATATATATATATATGGAAACTTATGGGTATATATATATATTATATCCAGTATTATACGCATTAATTATCCATATTAAGTTATACCATCTAATTACTTAGTTATACTTATATTTCTATAACCATAGTTACACCGAGTTATAGCCACCCCAACTGCAGCCCATCTCATGGGTTTCCACCACCGACCTGCGCTCTGGCGGGTCACAAATAAAGCCTGGGACGCTACGGGCTGCCGGACCCAGCGTCCTGAATACTTCCTTAGTGCAATTACCTATATATTCGGACATGTTTTGACATACGTATTGACATATTTTGACAAGGCAATTCACCCATTTCTGTTGGTTATTTTGACAAGAAATTCCTCGTGAGCCTGGCAGTTGCAAACCTATTATGTACTTGAGTTGATAATGTAGGGGACATAATTTGTATATATATATATATACATATGAAAACATATTCAATATCAATGATTGATTATATCACTATAAATAATAACTGAGTTCACTATATATATATATATATACACATACATACATATATAGTACATAGAATCCCATAGAATCCCATAGAATCCCCTAGATGTCTGACCCACAAACTGCCACTTGTTCTTCCCATATTCTGGGTCACAAACTGCTGCTCTGGCCACGCGGTCTTGACCTTTGGCGAAAACCATTGGATTTTCATGGCGATAGAAGGGGACTATCCTCTGGTAAACTAACAGTTTGCTTTTGGAAATGGCAATTTAGTTCGTTGACAAAGCTTTAAAAAATGAAGATGTTCCATAGTTTTGTTAGTTTACCAGAGGGTAATATAGCCGACTACAATGGGATGTAACCAACTGTAACATACTGTAACTATACCAAGAAGTTGGATTTGCTGTATCAAATGATAGGGATTTATATCATTTTATATCCCCATAACAAGGGTATACCATGGAATACCAAATGATGGTGGCATGGAGGCATGACCATGTGGGACACCTCAGAGCTGAATGTCTGACTGCGCGCGGGGAAAAAAAATACAAAACGATTGAAACATCATTAGCACAAATTAACCATCAAAAATTGGTACCCTATTCTCAGACAACGACATATTGAAAGTAACATGTTTGTTGGTTTTGTTTCAGCCAGTCATTCAACTAGTTCAACATATCACCCATTAACCCGACACTTAGCCTACTCAACTAAACCAGCTTGGCTTAGCTTAGCTTAGCCAACGAACTGGGGCACCTTGTGCATTACTTGGTCATTTCTTGATTCGTTGCGGAAGGTTGTGTGCAAATCATGTCTATCTACAACACCCCCTGAACAAATAGAACAGTTATTCCCAAACCATTTTCAAAAAAACTAGTTCTATCTACATAGCACTTCCCATTTCTATCTATAGCAACAAATAGGAAGATAGAACTGTTTTGTAATTGGATTTGACTTTCCTTTTTGGCGTTACTCTACTGTCAAACTCTCCTTCCGGGGGTGCAGGCCTGGGGTTAGCAAAATTGCTGGGTATAACTATGGTATAACTATGGTAATCAAAGCCACAACTTGGGATGGATCTAGTCCCTAAATATGGAAAAGTACAACCACAACCAGCCAGCCACTTGAATTTTGCGGAAATTGCATCATACTAAGCATCATCTTGAAAATCGTGACGTCATTTGAGGTCCTTCGAATTCGGCCAAATTTAGAGTATAAAATAGTTTGGAATAATCTCTTCCCCGGATAATAACCCCTACATCCAACACCTGGTACCCTGGTGAAGTATTGGATATCATCTCAGGGGATGGGATTTTAAGTATAAAATTCCACAGACCAAAGGGTGAAAAACCTCTCTTGGTATAGTCAACTGCCAACTTTGTTTGATTGAATCAGATAAAATCATCAACTTTATTGATAACATCCTCTCACATGCTTGTTTTTTTTTCCCCGAAATTGGGGTACCTAATTTTCCCGAGGAACATTAATGTCATTTCTTGACTATAATTTCCAATTTCTGAATGAACCCATTTCATATTCATGGTTGTAGTGTCTACAGTATACCCCAAGTTGTATCCCGACCATATCCCAAGTTATATCCTGATTATGCTTCCATCGTATACAATTGGACCCCCCAACAAAATGTTGGTTTGACACCCAATTCTGGGAAAAAAAACATGTTGTATCCGAAAACTATATGTTTGTTTCTGGTTGCCCTAATGTTTACAAACCGATTTTGGCAGGTAAAATGCGATCCATAGATGGTTCGACTACCATTTTTACCAACAATATTGTGTGCGTGTTTAACACCTTGACATCCCTAAACATCCCTTAGCATCCCTTCACATCCCTAAACGCGTCCTTCAACATTTCTTAACATCCACATCATCCCATCATTTACATGGTGTTTTAATGTGTTTTCTTATAATTCCTCATTTTCTAACGACCATTTCTTGCCACCACCATCCCAGCGTTGTTTCGACAAGAGACGACTCGGAGAGGCCGCTCTCGCAGCTGAAGGCGATGTAATTCGCCTCCTCCGTCAGCACCTGATCAGCGGATGTTTTAGATTCTGTGATTAAAGCTGATAATCATCATGTTATATGAATATTAATACCAGCTTGATTTCATTATATACTTATGAATTAATCATATATTATGTGTTCATATAATATTATAGAATCTACCATTATCATAGATGATGCTTAACTGAACAACTTTAATATATGATAATGAATGATGGTGTGTTATTGTCATACAATAAGATAAATTAAATATAAAATAAGCTTTTAAAAAAAAACAATCTATGCCATATTTACCATATACTATACTAAATTATTTTTGATATATTGATGTATTTAGGGGTATATTTATATATATGGATAGTCACAATATATCACCATAGACTATGGAGGATAGGTTTTAATGGGGACTTAATGGGGACTTCAGAACGATTTGATGGTGAAGCATCAAAAGATCTATAATGGAATACAATTTGATGTGTATATATATATTATATATATATGTATGCGTATGATAGTTAAATATGATAGTAATATACACTAAAATACTATATATATAATTATATATATAATTATATATATATAATTATATATATAATTATATATATATATATATATTCAATTATATTCATATATTCAATGGGGATGCAATAACCGGATAATTAATGGGATATCAATGGAAGATTGAGATGCTGTGATTACCCTCAGTAACTATACGCACTTTATATATGACTTTCCCAAGGAAATACCTCTATGTATAGGGCATAGATTGGTTTTAATGGGACTTAATGGGAACCTAATAGCGATTTCATGGGGAAATATAATGATATATAAAGGACAATTGATATTATGCGATTAAAGCTGATGATCATCAAATAAATAAATGAATATTATATATTGATAATTATTGATATATTTATTGTGATCATTGATGACCCTCCAGCGGCATCAAACATGGCAATTGAAACATCCAATATCACTATAATAAATAGAGGTATATAGCTAAGAAGATTATTTGTAAATGAGGTATGTTCATTTCGCCATGAAAAAACATGCGATTTTCCATAGTAAACGTACCAGAGGGTAGCTGCAGAATCTATGATATACGCAGTCATAGACTGCAACATGGTCTCTGTCAACATATCTACCCGCGGGTGTCCGTAAACAAGGCCATGCACAGTCTCCCGTTTAGTTTGATGTTTTTTCTTATGTAGAGGCCCATGTCATTTTAGTTCGGGGGCTTCCAAGGTAGTCATGTTTGATGACACCGGAGGGTATACCCATTAATATGCCATTATTATCTTGTTAAAATTCCATTAATATATATATATAAATATCCCATTATCATCAAATATTAAGCCATCTTGGTTTCACATCATCTTCGGTATTTACATGTATTTACCAGAGATCAAAGATGTCCCCAAACATGGAATTGATATCCCTGGCGTGTCACCCCATCAACCATCAATCGTTAAACCATGGCTGGTCATGTTTTGTATGTACCCAATTTCACTTTTATAGTCAACTCCAAATTGGGATCATTATTCCTAAGTTATGATCCATTCAAACTGGTCGTGCCCGCCAGTTGTGTCGGCTGGTTTATGTTCACCTACTTAACATATATCCCCGGTATACTTTTAAACCAACAGTTAGCCTAGTGACCTAGTGAAAGTAAACCAACCTAGCGAACCTAACTATGGGGCACAATTATGCAATATATCACATAAATATCATATCCCTATGAAGTCCCCGCGGTATATAAAATGGTTGGCTTCTCTTTGCTTTATAGCCCATTTCTCTTGGTGAAATCCTTTTCAGTCGCAATTTTCCCCATGATATAATTACCCATGATATGCCCATCAAATATACCATTAAAGACATATAAAAAATATATAATGTTAAAGCCACTCATTATAAATCTATATAAATCTATGATATCCCATGATATGCCCATATATTTTTATTGGTGAACGCTCGTCAAGTCATGCGCTGAAAAAATTGGATCCCCCTGCCATGCCCGTGCCAAGGAGGAGTTCACCGAAGTCTTCACACTTGATGCCCTGCCGTAGGGCCGGGTTTCAACCCTTGAAGGTGGTGCCCTTCCTCCTTTTAAATCCCAAAATTCACCTCTTATTCGGGTCTGCTTAGCAACCCCCAAAAAGATAGAACTGCGAAATTTGAAATTCTGTGAACTTCTCTATCTTTTGGGGGTAGCCTGATGTATTCCAAGATATAAAACAATCATTCAGTGGATTTGGAACTTTGCCAACAAAATTCAGCGAGATATTGTCCCCATTTGTCCCCCATGTTTTCATCCCACTCAAAGACACGAAGAAAGGAAGCGATGAAAAGCTGGAACCGCTGAACCGCTAGCACCAGAATGCCGGCCTCGTAGCGATGAGAATCCAATCGCTCACGACTGTACATCTTTTCCAGGAATTCCTGGGACCCAAAAACCACCGGGCCTTGAGATTTGAGGAGTTTTTCTTCGGATCTGATGGGATCAACATGAAAACATCATAAAACATCTGCTTAACTTTAGAGCTTCATTAACTTTAATGGGATTTCATGGGACTTTACTGGGATTTCATGGACCTAAAACCAAATCCTTTAGATTTTACATGACTTTGCTCATCTTTACTGTCTCCACCGATCTGAACGCTTACCGGCACTGCTGTCTAGGGAGCAACCGATCATCCCTGGCGCCTGTGCGAAGAAATCCTTCTGTGGATCGAACAGGAAGTTGAAACGCCAGGTTGAAACCTGGGGATGAAACACAGTGGAAAACAGGGATTTTCATGGATTTTCATGGGGATATACCATATATATCCATATATACCATGGGGTAAACTAAGATAGACAGATTTTCAGCATCAAAACATGCGAGAATCGGGATGGACTTTGCAGCAGATGAAAAAACATGGCTACCCCGGTGACCGGTGTCATCGATAGAGCTGGAAATTCCACCTATTTGTTTCCTAGTTGGATGATGTTGGATGTTTGTTCCCAGCAAAAAGTTTTTTCCTCCATTTATGGTGGATTTGCAACTGCCAGGTTTGATGAGCTGGGCTCTTCACCCGTACACGTAGGCTGATGTTGAGAGGTAAGCAGTAAGCATGTGGATTTCACTAACCAAAGTAACAAGAACAAGGGGTTCACCACCAATTTGAGTAGGTAACCGGTCAATGACCATGCCTCATGCGGATATCTATCCAACTGTTTTTCTTCAATGATGGACTGCTAGCATCTGCTAGCTATGTATGGGCAGCCACCTGATCTGGCCCAAGGTGGCCCACCCCTATGTTTGTTGCGTTGTAAACCCAACAAACACATCCATTAAGATATATAGCTAGTTCAAGATATCTATCATAAGTCCAATATAGTCCAATCATGATTAAAGTTAAGTTCACCAACTTGGGTGTGTCTAGAAATGGGCCAAAAACCGGCTATACCCTTTCAATTCATGGCCATGTTGTAGGCAAAATGAGGGTAACTAACATGTTTGACATGTTTCGAACCACCGGTTTTTTGGAGTTTTCCCGGATCCCTTTGGACCGATTTGTCAACGAACCAGGTCTCCGAACTCCCTTGGGACGTTGTCCCTTGGCATCTGACAAAGAGAAACTGATGTTCAGCGCCTGCGCTGAAAATCATGGGGGACTGGGCCAGACTGGCCACTTCCCGACTGTTGCTGGAGTTCCCAACTATCCCCTATATTTCTTACCAACCGGCTGAAAAACTTTTCAACAGCCAAAATATATCAACATATGCCAAACATCTATTTTGACCAAGCATCTGGTAAATATCACAAACGGAACAATTCTGCAAATCTGCCAAGTATCACGTTGATGGTTTCAACCTTCGAACATATTTTCCCGCCATTTAAGATGATCACCATCCGTTATGTAGATTCGAACAAAACTCATCTTAACCACCATTTCCACCATCAACTGTAAAACCACCATTTCCAATCCATTTCCACCATCAACAAGTTTTTCATCTATCCCAATTTTTTGTTGCCGACCAACATTCACCCATTCGGAATTGGAGCTGTGGGTGTCGTTTTTTTCAAACAACATCGGTCCGGGGATCGGGTGCTGTACTGAGCTGAAAAATGGGCTCTTGGACTATGTCACATTTATGTTTGAATCCCCCAAAAAAGTGACATAGTCCATTTGCTATAAATGTGGTAATTTAAAAATTAACCATAGTAATTTTCTATGTCAGAAAACTAAAGTCCCATTAACAAAGTGGTAAAGTACTCTTCTAATCTCTTCTATTTGTTTTGGGGATTACTATACTGTAGCTTTACAACAACCATGGACGATCATGTCAATTTGTAAATTAGGCCAGCAGATTTCCAACCCCGACCCTGAGCAACTGGCATGATTTAAGTCCACATTGCACTTCATCATGCTGTAGTTGTACTCTAAGTAAGTGCCTCAGGAGAAATGCTGGATGGGCTGTGACGGTTGAACATAGGATACGAATGGACTATGGCCGTACAAAATATGTTAAGTTTAGTGTTGAACCATCCATTTGTTGGGTTCATAGTTTGGAGCCATACCCATCTATGGCCTGCCACGAAAAAACAGGGATAGTGATGATCAATCATTGACCATGGGATGGAATTACCCACCAAACATCGGGAGTTCCTGCACGGAAAAGGGACACGTTGATCAAAACATGGGAAACATTGCGAACCGTTCTCCATTCCTTTGTAGAATTCTGTAGATGATTTCCATCCCGAACAAATTATACATTGACCAACGTTGCACCATCTGTAAATGCTTCAATATCTTCAATGGTAAAAACAAACATTAAACAAAAAACATAAATTTCCCCATTTGTTACAGAAAAAAACATGGCAAGTTGCATTTGTTTCTTCATTGCTTCCCATCCCAAGCCCGAAAATTGGGGCTCAAACGAAACGGCCCACATGGCGAAGCCACGGCCGAAGGGACGTGAGCCTAGCAGATCTTTCGATGGAGCTTTTCAGGAAATTGGCATTCTTGCCTCTGGTAATCAAACATCGTTGAACAAAAATCCAGATTTAGATGATACCCTCTGGTTATGACTAACATAGCCATGGTATAGATGTCCCTAATCGAAATAGATGGTTTACCTATAAACAAAATGGTGATTTTCCATGGCGAACTGTTAAATTACCAGATGGTAAATGATGATCATATGACAAGCTACATACAAGTTACAAGCTTGAAAGCTCCATTGACAGTGGATTTTCCAGCCATCTTTGATTGGACGGTGTCCAGTGGTTGGTGTCTTGGGAACACAAGAAAACATGTTTTTGTTGCTGGATGGGGATGTGTCTTGTTCATTTCAGCTGCACTCAAACCATCCAAAAATCAGTTACGCATGTAAAAAAAGATTAGTAATTCTCAAACCAATACACGATTTCATTCAAGTTCTATTGCATATATATATATGTATAATGTAGTGTATATATATATATATAATTATATATATATACAATTGTAAGGTATTCATAGGTTATATCTCCTGTAAAGTAACCCCACGCTCAACGCTGCCTCGATGGCAATGAACGGAAAGGCTTCCGCTGCGTCGCTCATGTTGCGCCTGGCTCTCTTCAGACATCTGTGGGTTGGTTCTTGGGTTCAACCTGGTGATTTGGTGCCTAAAATTTCTTATAAGAATGGTTAATCATGGTTAATAGGGAAATAATGGCACATAATTGTTAATGATAGTATAATAATGGTTAATAATGGTTAATAGTTGAACCACAAGGGTCTAATTAATGTCAACCCCAGATTAATAAACCCTGGTTTATTAATTAGGGGGGGGGTACTCCTCCAATAGTCATAATCTAATACTTAAATGGAACCCTCCCAATTAAACAGCCTAGGGGTTTATTAATCCAGGGTTGACATTACTACAATGGTCTAATTCATGCTTAATAATTGTGGTTAATCATTGTTAATAATGGTTAATAATGGGATTACCCTCTGGTAAACTAACATAACTATGAAAGATCCACCATGCTATCAATGGGTAAATCAACTGGTTCGACTGGGCCATTTTCAATAGCGAACCGTAACAAATGACCAGATGGTATAAAGCAAGTTTTGCAACTGTGGGGCACCGCCTTTTGAGGGTGTAGCGGCCATTGTTCATGCTGCTCGCAAGCAGAGCTGATGTAACCTATTTTGGATACAACATGGCAATGGAATCCCCATGTGTTTGAGATAGGACGATCAAAGACACACCGATCTAAATGTGTATATATATATATATACATACATAAAGAGGTTTGTCTGAACATTGGCTACCCCAAAATCTCATGATTGATCATCAATCTCTCTTTAAACTGGCAATTTTGAGGTAGCCCAATTTGAGGGAAACACATATTTCTCTCAGATTTTGCCAGCCAGAATACCAGGATAAGAATCTGCCAAGCACTGAGAATGCGACACTTCCTCTTTCAAGTTGGTTGCCCATACCTGCGACTGATCGACTGGATCTGAGTGGTGGTTCCAAGCCATCCAAAAAGTATGCTCGTCATGGGGCTTCATCTTCCCATTTTTATGGTTGAACACAATATGGCTGTGGGTTAAAACCCTGTTACCTGTTACCTGGTAAATGGATTCATCCCTTCTAAATACAGTATGATAGGTTTTGACCCATCCCCATATCAATAAATGCTTGAAATCACCAATGATCATCCCATTTTGTCCCTTTACATACCAGATTTGTTGCCTCCATAAAAAAAAAAAAACAAGTGAGAAAAAAGGCGCCTGCGAAGTCGGGGAGAAACAAACTTCAGTGATTTTCCATAGGTCAAACTACCAGAGGTTACATAAACCGATTCAACACTGGAACATCGATGTACTGTGTATATAAACCTGAAATACGACAAATAAGGCTCTATGTTGGGGAGAATTCCCCTTCCTAACCTGTCCTAACCATCAGTCCGGTGAGGTTGCAGTGAGGTCATTATAATTTATCCAGAAATATATACATATATATATATATTCATTATAATTGTATATATATATACTCTATATATATACTATAAATATAAATATATGTATATCTACTATAAGCATATATATATATGTACACACTATAATCAAATATGTATATACTATAACTATATATATAGTATAACTATATATATATACTATAAATATATACACACTATAATTATATATATATTATAACCATATATATATACACTATAATTATATATATACACTATAACAATATATATATATATATATACCACATATATATATACCATATATATATATATTTATCTACCATATACGTATATATATTTACACTATAATTATATATATACGTATGTATATCATAGTACCCCTTTAACAAAAAGGACCAGGGGGCGTCAACCCAGCCACCCAACTTGCCGGACTTCAAAGGCCATATTTTGGTGTCTTACTGGTGCTAAACGTAGGGAATGGATGGGTTGCTGGAGAGGTTGCTGGGGGTTTCTGGGATGATTATTGATAGTGATGAAATGTATTTCTGGATCATTCCCGAAAATTCCTAAGCCAAGCACCAGTAAGTTGTGTCCTGTTCAACCCCCAAACTCGCAAATAAGTCATCATAAACTATCATAAATCAGAATCCCTGTTTGGCACAGTCCACTGCATCTGTTTCATCTAGGATGAACCCATCAGCCCCTGCGAAGGGCGGCTCCTCCTTTTCAACCTGTCGAGGCTGAGCTCGTTTGGCCGCCTGATGGGCAGATTCGTGACATGAATGTAGCTATCATTAATTGTATCATTAATTAACCACTTGCCACCCACCATGATGTTAGTTATAATATGATATCATTATCATTAATTTACATTGCAACTAATGATCTTTTTTTTTGGTGAGCTCCATGGTGCATTGAAAAAGGATGCATTTTAATGTATGTTGCCACTATTAGCTAGTATAATTTAGTAAGATCTTACTGTCCTATCTTTGGGGAGGTTGCAAAACTTGGAGCTGTGTAGTATGTTGTCCACACAAGAATCCCTCAACTCAACAGTACTGCAGTGAACTCTCAACAAGATTTGACATTCCAAAGATGTTGCAATAATATACTTTTTTGTTGGTACATGTTCATGAATTCATCCACGATTGTTTCATGGGTAGACAACTGGCCTGCTGGCCAAAACAGCCATTTTTGCTGGTTCAATCCCCATGTGGCTTAAATCAACCATTTCATGAGGTTTCATGAGTAACAGTAACATTCCCTAGCTGCCCTAGCTTTCTAGTCACCTTCTGTGGTAACCAGGATCACCAGACATGATGAATTGCGGCGTTGATTAGCGATCTGACAGGTCACCTGTCAGAAGGAGTAAACATCCTCAGTGTTTGAGGCTTAAGTCACTGGTATAAAATCTTGTGATTCATTCGCAAACACCCCAGTTCATCAGTTTAGTATAGCAAAATTCTCAGTCTGCTGACTAACCCCCACTTTCTATTCATCACAGGTCCATCTTGGCCCAATGTTTGACTGAGGACACCCACAGCCGCATCCATCTGGCAGGGGTGAATCTTCACATGTTTCACATGGAGTAGTCTAAGGGCCTAAGGGGAACATCGACAGGAAACAATGGTGTTTGCCAACAAATACAGCCAGTTTCCTCTAACATGTCCCAACCCATTCTGGGACCCGTGAGATGTCTGAAAATGGTGGAAAGGTAACCTCACGGGGCATCACCCTGATGGATTCATCCTTCCTGCACGCCTGAAGCTGGAAAAACAGTGGTTTCTGCTTTCAACCCCTGAACAAACATATATATATATATATCCATATATATATATATACATATATTTATATATACATATATATATATATGTATATATATATATCCCGACGGATCTTTCACCGTCCCATGATTTCTCAAAAACGTCGTTCTCGTGCTAGCCAAACGCACATTCTGGGTCCAAAAAAGTTTCTTAAAACAAGTTCATCGCAAGATGCTTTCGTCAACCCTTCCAGCATTTTGTGGTCAAAAACGTGCCGAGTTCGGTTTTCCTTTTTTCAGCTCACAGCTTTGCCAGGTAGAGGCCCGTTTTGGCCAGCAGGTATCATATCTATATATTTACAAATGTATCATATCTATATATGTGTCCATATGTATACATGATTCATATTACATATAGTGATCAATATCGGTGTATGTATACATATGTAGATGCGAATACTCTACAGGTAAGAATCTATATATGCCTCTACGTATCTGTAGTGCAAGCGAACGTTAACATGGCCCACCCCACCCCACCCAACCCCAACCCCATGCGTGACGTAGCATCAACTTCATGACGCAAGTGCAAGCGAACGTTAACATGCCCCACCCCACCCAACCCCAACCCAATGCGTGACGTAGCATCAACTTCATGACGCAAGTGCAAGCGAACGTTAACATGCCCCACCCCACCCCACCCAACCCCAACCCCATGCGTGACGTAGCATCAACTTCATGACGCAAGTGCAAACGAACGTTGACATGCCCCACCCCACCCCACCCAACCCCCACCCCAAGAGGTTTAAGATGACATGTAACAAAAATGTCGAATTTGTGGGCCGGTAAAAGATCCGACTGCATATATATGTATATATATATATATGTATATGTATACCTATATGTATATATATATATGTATATATATATATGTATATAATATATATATACGTATGTACATATATATATATGTAATATGTATATGTATACCTATATGTATATATATATATTATGTTGAGTAATTGGGGATAATCATCCCAATTAGGAATAGCAAATCAGATAAATAAAACAGATTGCAGACCACCATCAGAAAGCGGCCACACTGCTTCTCCACCGTGCCTTCTGTGTCATTCGGGAATGAATTGGAACCGACGGGGCCTTGTTGACTAGGCAAACGTGTTGCTTTAAATTGGGCCACTGTGTGCTTATCTGCTGATGTCCCCGTGGTTTTCTTTGCACATCAAATGGTTTCTCTCAATCCATGCAGACCGCTGGTCATCTGTTGGCTGGTGGGTGCGCTGTAAAGGCTCTGTTGAGCTTTCAGTCTGCGGAATGTTGAGACACCTTGGAAGAAAATGCTCAAAACAACAGTCAATGCTGAGCAAATTAGTTCCAAGTGACATGAACTGACTATGAGCAGATCAAACGTTGGCACAGTTGGATGGTGTGATGCCATGGTTGTTCCATGATGCCATGTGTGCGCTGCCCAGCCCTAGCCACCGCCTTAGGGCCTGCAACTGCGCGAGACCAGCAACAAGCACTTCCATGCGGAGTCCCTCTATCGTACCTAACTTTGACCAAACTACACATGTGTGTATACATGTATATATATATATATATGTATATATATGTATGTATGTATGTATGTATGTATGTACGTAGGTATGTATGTATGTATGTACGTACATACGTACGTATGTATGTATGTATGTACGTACGTACGTATGTATGTATGTTTGTATGTTTGTTTGTTTGTTTGTATGTTTGTTTGTTTGTTTATGTATGTTTATGTATTTCTATGTGTTTTTATGTATATCTATGTATCTATTAAATGTATCTATTATATGTATCTATTATATGTATAGATTATATGTATAGATTATATGTATAGATGATATATATATATATTGTATGTTATTATATGTATATATTATAGGTATGTATCTTCTGTAAATATGTATGAATATATTATACATACAGTATATATATACACGTATATACTATGTATAATATATATATATATATACTATGTTCATATTAGAATACATGTATATTGTATATATATATATATATCATATACGAATATGTAAATGTCAAGAAATATACTGTAGATAGACGCACATAGCCATTTCATATCATTTTTGGACAAATGATTCTGACGTACTCTGACCGATTTTGCTGCCGGTGTTTTTGAAACATACCCACCGGGTCAGGGTCCATGACTGGGCACCACTTGTCTGGAAATGGGGTATACCGAATGGCAATAGTTAGATGGGGGAAAATGATGATAATCCATCAGGATGGCCCCCCCCCCAGTTATATATAAGTTGGTTTATAACCCCCATTAACCATAGTTATATAGTTCGTTATATCTAGCATAAACCATATAATTCAGCCACTTTTCTACGGCAACTGAACGCTATCGAACAGGGGCCCCATCTTAGCTATGGAATTGGGCAAATTTCCATGGACACACCCGTGTTGCAGAGATTCATTCCGAAAGAATGGACGGAATCCCTACATTGTACACAGCTGCAATGATGAAAACCTACAGAAATATTGCGAGTCATTGCATAGAATGTTCATAGGATCTTACCTATCAAATAGAAATGGTCATAGAAAAGTGGACATTTTTCCTTTCAGATGGCATATTAACATCTTTTTGTATATGCTATCTGGCTGTTACCCTGTAGAGAACAAACCATAGAAAAAAACAATTTTCGTATGATACGATGGAAGCCATGGCCCATGTGCCATGTTCATCCATTGTCCGTAGCAAACTGCAGCCCAGCACGAAAACCACGAAGCAATATATCCATTGTGAGATTGATATATATATATATATAATATCAGTGTTATATATTTGGTATATATATATACATATTATACAGATGCATATGTATGATATATCATATATATATATGTGTTAAATAGTCCATGGTTGGATATAACTGTGACATGTTATATCATGTTATATCCCTTTAAAAGCAATGATGCCTCATGGCTCCTCACAGCTCGGAAAGGATCTGGAGAAACTCTGACAGTCGCAACGACCATCCGCAGCACGACTTTTCTTTAACAGACGTTGGCGTGAAAACGCAGTGGAACGCAGAGCTGCGACCCACTGAAAACATCTTCAGCTGTCCCCATGCAACAATTGCATTTATTCATCTTCAGAAGAAATATTGTTCCGTCAAATTGTTAAATTGATTTTCCTGGTATTTATTATGCAATTGAACATATGGGGTTTCACTTAATTTTAAAGACCTTTGCAAAACATGCAGATTTTCCAGCCACTCAAGCCTGGGGAAGGCTCATCAACATAGCAACATAAAGACATTGACCAGGTGGCACTACTATTTGATCATGGTTTCAATGATTCTATCAATTAGATATCCGCGTCCTTGCATTGGCAAAACAGTGACTGGCTAGAAATCTGGGCAATATATTTCCCCATAAATCTGCCTGAAAATAATCCTGCCGAAGGCTTGCCATTCACCCTGTTTTTTTCCAGCTAGTCATGGGGAAAACTGAAACTCTCCAAGCTGTAGCGTTGACAGTTAGCCGCCTGCATCACTGTCACGCCTGGGGATGTTCGCAGGAGGCCTACAGCAATACTGCCTTGGATGTACATAAAATTTCCCAACAATCCATGAAATATAACTTCTATTTCAGCATGCATAATTTCCATTACACATATATATATAGAATATATATATATATATATATAGATAGATGTGTTCCTTTACATCATCAAATAATCTACCATGTCCATATTCATATCTGGAACGTATAGATGACCAGCCTAATGATCATGATTCACCAGCCTGAAATGGGTTTTTCGATGCTGATGATCCATGTATTGGATGATAACGCCATGTGGAATCCATGGGATATTATAATTGAACGATAAATTTGGTGTATATATATGTATATATATGTATATATATATATGTATATATGTATATGTATATATATATGTATATATATATATATGTATATATATATATATGATATTGATATGTTATGCAGATCAATATGTAGTATGTATTGGATGTGTAAATATGTAATATGTATACATATAAATATAAATATATATATATATAATACAAGGATCTTATACAGAATAGAAAATAGCCACCGGCGGGTTGGCTTCATGCTTGAAAAAAAAGATATGGACTGTGAACCATCTGTTGTTGCTGGGGGTCATCTGTGGAGGGGTGATGATTGGTTGAATTCCCTTACTGTAGCTGATGCTCATCCCAGCGCTTAGTTTTTTTCATACAAAAAGTGGAGATTACACCACCGATTTCACAGGACTCTCATCGTTCTCCCAGTCTCCCCACTTGAATCGGTATTTTGGGGGTATGGCCCTCTCTTTTGACACACCCAAGAAACGGAAATTTAGATGATTGCTAGCACCACAGCGGCTGTTTTTCTTTAGATCAACATAATTTGACATCCTACGGGAAATATCGAGAAAGCCTAGGCTGCAGGATTGTGACGACCATTTTATAGGCATTGAATCACTCTTTGAGGTGAAGATGTTGGAATCCCCTGGTCAGAGCTAGGTTGGTGTAGTTCACATAGGTGAATCCGATGGGTTATACTATACTTACTATACTGTAAACCAACAAACATACCCTCGCGATTCCTAAGGTACCTATGGAAAATCACCATTTCTGCTAGGTAAATCAGCGTTTTAAGGCCGTTTTTTTCGCTGTGGTGTACCGTACCGGTTTTTCCCGGGTTTCGACATGTTTCGACTCCCCACCTCGACCTCAGTCATTTACAAAGGCTCCCAGGCCACCTGAGTAGTTCCAAGTATGTAAATGTTGAGATAAATATGTATATATATATATATTATGTAGGAACGTTACCCGAGTTTTGGGTCGTAGTTATATCATGTATATCATATGTATATCTTTGATTATGAATATATTATTATATATATAATATATGTATGTACTCCCATCATGGGATCATAAAATTGTCTAAAACACTAAATGAGAGCCGCTTGGGTTCTTGTACGGTTCCAGCAGCACCAGAGTTTGGTGATGGACCAGGGCCCATGGCTACAGGCTTTTTCGACGGTGTTGGAGGGATACACCCATGATCTGACCCAATTTTGCGGGAATGGTAAAGACATATATTCAAAATCACATGTGTATAATTCATAAATACTCATTCATCATTTAATTCACAATATCAAAATATCTCAAACATGTGTTTAAAGTTTAAGTTACGCATCACACATCAATATAAACAAACATAGTTCAAGTACATCTACCCATCCTACGAGTAATTTATTCTCCGATCCCCAGAAACCGCGGACCGGGACTGGATCATAGATTTCCTGCATTTCAGATAGCCATATATTGGGTATACTTCAGACAAACCCAAATCATCTTGAGTTGCTATATAGATATTATATCATGTATATACATAATTACAGTTATATGTACCAATATGTACATCGTTTATAATATGATACCATATATACTGTAAATATATCACTGATAATTGTGATATGTAAAATATAACATATATATATGATATTTACAGTTATAATATATATATATATATATATATATATCCCGTGATACCATGATATCCCTACGATGTCCCATTCATAGGCACCTCGTGTGTCTGACAACCTGAGGATCCCAAGAGTCACAGAGGGTGCGCATTCCAGCGATCCGGGACTTGGAAACCAGGATTATTCCCCACTGATTATAAGTACTACTACTAGTGAGACATTTTTTTATCCATTCAAACATATGTGAGATATCAGGAACAATAATATGGAGATCCCTCTCATCGAACTACCATTTATTAAGAAAAACAGCAAAAAAAAACATGATTATGGAGGACATCCAGGTATACATCATATACCTGCATCCAGGTATACATCGACACATCGAGGGTAAATCTCCAGTTTGGTTTGTCCAGAAATGAGATATATAAATTGCCTAAATTTGCCAAACTTATAGCAGGGAAGATGATGTCTTCATAGTGAATCTTAGATACCTGCCCCCCCCCCAAAAAAAAATAGTTGGTTAGTACATTTCAAAAAAAAACCATTGATAGCACAAGATTGAAGTACTGCAGTATCTAAGGAAGGTTGACCCAGTTTAAAAAACCATTAGTTCTGGGGCTATCCTGCTTTTAGACCAACCAAGAGATCAAGAGGGTACATACCCTCAAAAAATAGTGCCAACAACTTACCACTTGAATGCCTTTACCATCAAACAAGCGTTCAATTCAAAACTGCTGGCAGCCTGACAATTGGACTACTTTGTGTTTTGATGATTTACCCTCTGGTAAACTAACATAACCATGGAAAATCACCATTTTAAATGGGAAAACTCACTATAAATGGCCATGTTCAATATTTTTTGTGTGTTTATGCCAGAGGGTACAACAAATGAAACCTTTGACTAGGCTATGTGGAGGGTTTGCTGAACTCCGCCAGCAGAAAGAACGCTCCGGACTTTGACATCGTTTCAATGGGCAAACAATTAGAATTGTGCTGGTGAATTCCATTGCTTATATATCTGATTTGTGATTGCACAGTTTCAAGTCATTGTCATTGCTATATATCCCATGATGCTTTTGCATTGTCAATTTATATATCAAACTACCATTATGTGCATCTTTTCGCACCTGTCATTCCAGATGTTATACCCATACTATATTATGTTCATTCTTGTTGTTCTTCTTATCATTATGAGTGTCTGCAAATTGTGGTTGGGGGTTTGTCTGAACATTGGGCACCCCTAAATCCATTGGTTAGTAATCTAAAAAATGCAGTATTTGGGGATATCTGGGGCATAAGTTGGCGATGCATCCTATGATCTCCCAGAAATTCCTGTGATTTTCATGATGAAATCCCCATGATATCCCTACGTTGTCCTTGGAAAAAAAAAACATGTTCTGCGCCTGCGAGGCGTCTCACTGAGGCCATCTAAAGGCCTGGAAGTCAGATTTCCCCTGTAAATCTACTGGTTTAATCATAATTTTCCTTGTTAGAATAGCCATTTATTGAGGGTATACCAGTATACCTATACCATACTATACCGGTATAGCCTATTTTAAGACATACCAAATATGAATCGTGGGATGGGATAAAAATTAAGGAGTAACCATGTGTTTCACAGCACATGTGTAACAATGTGTTGTATTCTGAGACTTTATCCAACTTTGGGAAAAATCCCAATGGTCAGTTCAATGAGAGACTCTGAGCACTCGGGCTCACATCTGCCGGGGTCTGGGTGCAGCCATTTACCCTCATTTCTTCATCAAAGGCTTGCTGTATCTGTTTTCAGCAATCAGGTGAAAAGTTGGATATGTACTGGTTGGTGGTTTCAACCCCTCTGAAAAATATTGGTCAGTTGGGATTATTATTCCCAATATCTGGAAAAATGAAAAAGGTCCAAAACCACCAACCAGTGTATCATTTCGCTAACCAAGCTGCCAAGACTTTTGCAACAAAATGTGGAGATAATCACCTCACAACTGGCGATATGGGGCGTTTATTTCAGGTACTCAAAGTATCATCTGCCAAACAAACGAACAATGATGGTCCACAAGTGTGCTAAATGTGTGGATGTGATAAATGAATAATGCTTGAGCGAGGACGTGAGAATCTATATGTTTCATCTTTTCTGTAGAGTGCTTTAAGGAGAATATTGCAAACAACAATGGAGGGATAAAATGTCAAGCTCATTGGGTCTAGACATGTGTCCATCATTGTCCATCAATACCATCATAACTTCAACCTATTCTTCATGAAGGATTCAATCCCCCCCAAAAAAAAGGTGACCCCCTATATCCGTATCCCCTCAGGAAAACGCTCCTTTTCACTCGGTCCATTTCTGGTAAATCCTGCAGGAATCGCTCGGTTGATTCCCACCTCGCTGATTTTTGAAATCCCTGGTTTTTTGTCCTGTAGATTTTCTCATGGTCAATCTTTGGTAGTCCACAAAAGTGGTCCTCTTTTGCTGGTTGGCTGGTGACTTTCCATTTAGAGCAACAAAAAACAAAGGATTAGTTTCTACTCCTTTCCGCTGCCGACCTGGGAGATTGCGACATTTTTGATCGCCTGCAGCGTCGGAATCCAATGGATGGCGACAGGATGCGATAGGGAAATCCCTTAAACTGTTGACATTCTTTGATTACCATATGGGCTAATGATCATTTTCGCTTCAAATTTACCAATTTGCAGGGGCGTCCGTCTTGGGAGTTGGGTGGTACCCATTTTCAGAACCATATAAGGGAACCCCCCATGACATTTCTCATGCATCATATCCCCAACTAATAATTCAGTTCTCTAAAGACTCTAAAGTCTTACCAATTCTGTAAAATAACGATCATAGTTTCTCTCTGATGAAAATTGGAATCGATGCTTGCCATCTTCACAAATCATTGGCAAAGTGTCTTGCTAGTGCCATCGGTGTGCGATCGATTACCCTGTTTTCAAACGACAATTCCGCTTTCACATGGAAATCAACACCAGAACATCTGGAGGTACTACTGTAGTCTTCCACCTTACGCCCGGAGAAGCAACACTTCTGTAGAGGACTTGCTACGCCCTCAGGATGTTTGTCCCACTTGGGAATTTGTCGGGAACTAAAGAGTGCAGAGTGCACCCCCTTTGCGCCTTTGGAATCGGGAAAATCTCGGCTTCAAGACACATCAAGACACCCAGGGGACTTGCCGATCAGTAGACTTCTAGGATATGATGTTGCCGTCTCTACATGTTTTTGTGTAAACCCTGGTTGTGGGAACAAACAGAATCGTTAGAAGCTGCCAACTTTCACCAACATAAATAATGACAGTGGTTTGTCTGAACATCGGACATCCAAATTTCATCATTTTCCACATACAACAATGCAATGTCGGGGATATACAGAATTTTCAGACGTACCCAAAACATATTTACTAAGATATTCCATCATATCCTGAAAAATATTTGATATGTACGCTCTCGTGATTGAACATAACCATTAAACATGGCCGATTTCTAGAGGATTTAATCGATTTAATTACCTGTACAACTACATGGTGATTTTATGTGATTTTCAATACTTCTGTGAAATTACCAGAGGGTATCTCTCCCACATTTGATGGGTTGAGCTACCCTTCCAACAACAAATTAACCCGAAACATCCTGGCTGCCCTAGGCCTCTGCCGTGAGCCCCGCTGGAGGAACAGTTCGCGCGCATCCTGGGAACTGCATGGAACCATTGGGAAACTCAAACCGTGGAAAACGGGAGTGACATATAGATAGGTTGGTGGGATAAATATGAGGAAATTTAGAGTGTAGTGTAATGCCGGTGAATACACATTTAGCATCATCATCATCATCATCATCATCGTCATCATCATCATGATCATCATCATCATCATCATCACGATCATCATCACCATCATCATCATCATCATCATCACGATCATGATGACCATCGTCATCGTCACCGTCGTCATCATCATCATCATCATCACATATCATCACCATCATCATCATCACCATGATGAGCACCATCATGATGATCATCACGATCATGATGACCATCGTCATCGTCATCGTCGTCATCATCATCATCATCACATATCATCACCACCATCATCATCACCATCAGCATCACCGTTGTCATCGTCATCGCCATCATCATCATCATCATCATCATCATCATCATCATCATGCTCATCATCATCATCATCATCATCACCATCATCACCATCATCATCATCAACATTCTCCTCTTCTGCATCTTACTCATCATCATCCTCATCATCATCAACAGCAGCATTATCATTATCATCCTTGTCATAGCCATCGTCATCGTGGTGGTCGTCGCGTCGTCGTCGTCGTCGTCCTCCTCCTCCTCCTCCTCCTCCCTCCTCCTTATCATCATCGTCATCGTCATCGCCTGCGTCACCGTCATCGTTGCTGTCATCACCAATATCTACACTGAAATATAATATATTATATATTCTTTAAACATGTATAAATAGATAATATATATATATATATATATGTTTACAATTCTATACACAGATAGATACATACACATTATACCAGTGAAGTTGTGAGAGTTTTGCCCAACAATGGTGGAATGGGTTTAGACATGTTTAGACTAGGGAGCTCTAGATAGAGTCGTTCTCTTCATTTTGGGTCTTCACCGCCAGTGATTGGCCCCCGGGTAAGGCATGATGTGATTTCTTCTGGTACTCAGCGCCATGGTACTACCAAACCTGAAATCTACACAATTTGTCAAGCTGCTTTCCCTCAATGCTAAGCATCATGTATGGCGAGGTCGGCAAGTCGTGGCATAAATTGACGAGACATATTCCTTAGCTTTTCCCAGTGCAGTAAATATCATCATATTTTGGTGGTCAAACATGATGTCCAACCACCATGTTTTTTTCCTTAAACCATTCAAGGCCTGGAATGATCCGAGTCCTGCAGGAAACCCTCCAAGAAATCCACGTGGTCCTGCAAGCCCCAAGCCCCATTGTGGGGTCGATGCCCAAAAGTTGGAAACCTGGAAATATGCCAAAAACAAAAACGGGAAAAACTCCTCATTTTTTTGCGGGTTACTGTACTAGTTTAGTGTTTGATTATTGGTTGTTAATTATTTACCAATATGGATTACCAATTGGGGCTATCAAATGGTATGTATCTGGGGATAATATATATATATATGTATATATATACATATGTTTATTTATAAGCTACGTTAAACAACAAAATTTCACTGATAGAAAACAAGGCCACTTCGGAATACATTCCCCAATCCTAACAATCATTCCAGCGACGTCGAGGTGAGGTCGCAATAAAATTCGCCCAGGCAATTCTTAAAATGTTCCCTAAGAAAACGAAAATCTGTGGCTGCTTCCAATCGTGATAGCCCATCTATCCCATCTGCTCCCATGGACTGATTTTAGAATAAATCGTTCTCTTGTTGCCATAGATCCCGCTGTGTTACAAGGTTGGCCTATTTTCACCAACCTCACAATCATCATATTCATCATAATCCCATCTGAAAAGCTGGTTGCAAATTTAGGCAACTACTGGGCATCATTTTGTGCAATGCGTTGGAACGAGACAAAGGCCACAAATCAGTGCTATTCTAATCGCCAAGTCATAGAAACGACCTATTCTTGGGATGATTCCTCCTGTTCATGACATTGTTATTTGAGCTCGTTGTTCCTAAAACACTGTGAGATCCCTAAGAGATTCTATCTACAATAAGCTACGGGTATTACGTGAAGATTTCATGTATTGTTGTATGTACATAGTATTAATAGTATTATATATGCATAAATATATCGCCTCGGGAAAGACAGGACGCAAATTACTGTGAACATTATGAAACCCCTTACGTTTCTCCAATTTTGGAGACACGGATAGTGTATGTATATATAACATACTACAACATCATAATGCCAGCATCTGCGCGTATGCGTACGTACTTCATAAATCCTGAGATATACTGTATCTGGCTGAAGCATGGACATCACCAGTCACCAGTCTGGCGTGATCCCTTTCCCGAGCCATCATCTATGATGACGTCTTTATAGACGGTCATTGCCAATATGCAATGCCTGCAAACAAAGAGAAACCGGCTGTTTAGTATAGCTCCCCATTTATGGCAAAATACTTGGTATATGAAAGTACCATAAAATACCCTGAAGTACCCACACAATGCTTACACAAATATGTGCAGATACACAGTAATTATACACAAGGTGATGCTCCCCGCCCCGAAACCCTGAGCATTTTTTTGTTGTGGAAACTAGTCTTCCAACCCCCATCATCGATCATATGTTATCATCACCATAAACCCGTCCGTTCACCTGATTATAAACCGACTTCGCTGAGAACCTGGTTGGATTTCCTACTGAATCCCTTATTTTTCTCTATTGTTCCTGTATAGAATACTCGTTTCCGATGGTTAGAAGTACCATTTATAGATCTGATATCCGAATGTGAAATATCACCAATCTACAGGTATATAGAATCACTAAATTATCATGAATTATGTAGATCAGGGTAAATTCAAAGTTTCAGTGACCTGAATTAAGGCAACTTTTTGATAACTCACCTTACTAACCACCATCAAGGTCGTAGTGAAGTTGCTAAATTAATTTACCCAGAATCAGCTGTAACAATCGTCATTTAGTTATGATATAACCACTATTACGCCTGCGTTTTCTCGCACGGAACGGCCCTTCTTTTCCGCGGACCCCGCGAGGTCTGCGAAGGGTTGTTGCCGCAAATTATTGTGAAACGATCCATGAACCAAATTTCGTGTCGTACGCGTGGCGGGGGCCACACCTAGTGCACCGTCCATCCCTGCAAGGCGGTTAGAAGCCCGGATGAAACATATGGTAAAACAGTGGGAAAATTGAGATATATTCTGTCATCATGGGCGAACGTTAGCTTCTGCGGGCACTATTAACCATATTATTGCATCTTCATGATGGTTATATAACCACACCTTATATCTATAAAACACCCATTTATTAATTATTAGGATATATCGAGGATTATCGAGGTTTCCTAAAATAGGGCTACCCCCGGAACTTCCCATATATAGATCATATATATATATATAATATATTATAGAAATATGGGTGTTATAAATCTTACAAACACCGCCAATTGTACAACCTTGGTTTATATGTCTACAACACCCCATGAATTAGGATCTAAGGATCTAAGTTTTAATTGGTTTCTATGTCTATACATCTATAATTTATATGTCTATAACACTGTATAATTTATATGTACAACCTTGGATCTAATAAAACACCCAGTTGATCACTTTGGGGGAAGGGATTAGCAGCTGATCTCAGGGTCCTCAAGGCCTTGGACCTGCGCTTCGCGCGCCTGACGCTCTTCCAGCCAGCGCTCCTCAGAGGATTCCTGGGAAATGGCTGTTTCAAGCAGCGAAAAATGGTAATGGAAACCATGGATATTCATGGCTTGAAAAAATCACCATGAAACATGGTGATTTCACCAAGAAAAGTGGAGATTGATTGAACCATGGAAAATGGGGATTTAGCCATAATCAATGGGGGTTTGAGTATGAAAAATGGTGATAAACCAACAAGAATGGTGATATTTCATGAGATATGGAGCCTTCGGCGTCATCAAACATGGCTGGAAAATTCCCCATACTGGAGAATTCGTCTACAAATGTGTGGTTTTCCAGCAAGCCATGTTTGAGGCTTGAATACTGGAGGCTAATCCAAATTTTCTAGTTGGAAATTGAAAAGATCTTGATCTTTTCAACGAAATGAGCACAAAAAGGGTTGATGAATAGCTATTGAATGTTCTTGATTGAGAATTCAGCCATGAAACTTGGAAATCATCATCTATAAGTGCAATAAATGGTGATATTTCATGGGGAAATAAAATGGGAAATGTTTTTGATGGTTGAACCAGCCATCTGAAAACATCAAAACATGCTCGTCATTGGGGATCACCCCCCCGCAGCATGAAACCGCAAAGCAAGTTTGAACCAATCAGAAAGGATTTGTTGTTTCTTTCTCATCAGACATTGGTTTTGAACCAATGACATGAGTGCTTGAATTCTACAAACATGATGGGTCAATCAGCGAAAATTGGAAAACATAATCAGCAAGAATGGTGGCGTGGGGGGGGTTTAAACAAGAGACATGGTCGTTTTAGTAACACATGTGGTGGCTTCAAGTAACCAGCATGGGTGTCTTACCAACCAGAATGGTGGTCTGACATGTTCTGAGCAACACAAATGAAGTTTTAAGCAACAAAATTTCAGAAGCTAACCAATAGAACTTGTGTTCTTATGAACACACACAGTGGTGTCACCAACCAAGCTGGTGAGTTTGACATGCAAACATGTTGGCTGTTTCCCGAGCCCAAGAAACCATGAACCGACGATTTGGGGATGGATAAAAGGGCCACCCTTTTGAATTGGTCATCTTAAAGGGCCTTCTTTACAATAATCTGGGTAAATTATCTTATTTATTCTTAATTCACATTAAGGAGATAAAGGCCATTTGGGGATGATTTCCTATATAAAAACCATGATTCCAGTGGAGAACAGTGAGGTTGTTATGGATCAACCCATGAGTCACTGAGCAGCCCGAACCCGCAGGTCTCTCAGCTGCCGATGAGTTTCCTGCGACAGTAAAACTGTGACCCCAAACAGGAGACAACAAACATGCTGCCGGATGTTAAGTATTACATATATATATATATATAAATATATATATAATCATATATATATATATACATACACATACACATACTTTCTACAGTGTATAGTTATATGAACATATATATATATATATTGATCTTTGCATGATTTTGGGGTTCCATAGGGGCAACAAAATATCCAGCACTGGGACCACGTCCAAACCGAAAGCGATCGGATCTAAGAACTACTTGTTCTTCATCTTAAGAAATTACTCACGAAAGACTTTTATGTATAAATCATACATATATATATATATATACACAGATACATGTTTTCTCAAACATGAGTCCAAAAGCTCATGTTGATGCGGAACCAATCAAAGCTTGATGAGATAAAATGCGATAAAATACTGATCATTTCACGTATGAATGGCAACCCTTTTACAGGATAAATAAGATAGGTACGAGTATGGCATACAGTATGGCTTGATTTCTTTTTTGGATGTCAAAGAATGGGATGCTATGTTTTGGACAATTATTGGGAAAATAATGATAAACCATGAAATAACCATGATAAACCGAGGGTCGGCAATTTTCTGGATCCCATGGAATTACCTCTCGGAGTCGCGCCTCTGTTAATCGAATCTGGGCAGCTTCCACCTCCTTCAATTCCATGGTGAGTTGTTCCTGACACCTGGCGAGCGGTAAAAAACCACTGGGATCGGGGTGCTGATACATGGGGGATGTCAAAGCCAAAATTAGCCTCCAGTAAATTGACATAGAAGCTGCCAGATAGGGGTTGGAAGATTAGTTTCCACTAAGAATAGGGTATGTTCAGGGTCTATGTTAATTTACCAAAGGGTAAAGGACACAACAACTGACATGTAGAAACAAGATCTTTCAAACCAAGTTGCCAGTTGCTAAGGCGCAATAATGATTCTCAACTTCTCAGGGTAGGGTAAGATCGCACCGCTTTAAGGTGCTCTATCTACGGTAATTTGCTGGTTGAATCAACAAGTTTCATCCAAATCTATTCTGAATATCTATACATACAGACAATGTCACCCTTTTGCTTGCTGAAATCGGCTGAAATCCCCTTTTCATGATTTCAGAAGGGAATGGTGCTGGCATGTTCTTCATCAAAATTTGTTTGGGACTTCCCATTCTTTGGGTGTGTTGTCTACTAACTTCAGTATTTATGTTCCCACTCTTTAGTAGACCTATCTCAGCGTTTGGGACTATTTGGTCTTGACCCCCTGCCACATCACCCGGAACCTCATCAAAAACTTGTTGATGGCTTACCCCCACTCCCATGTTTTCCCATCATGGCTAAGTAATTCTTGGTCGATTTGAATCGCTATCCAAACATGACTGTGGCTCGAAACGATTTACTACGCGCATATTTGGATGGTTTGTTGTATATGTTAAATATATACATATACAGTACAAATATATATATATAGTCTAAAAATGACCAGATATGTACTAAAAACTAAATGATGCAACTTAGGTTGCTTCCTGGATTTGGACAACTTGTCTCAATACCAAGGGGCTTGGATTGGTGGATTTTCCAGCCACGTTTGATTTCCACGTTTGGGCATAACCATAGTGGAATAACCATAGTGGTGTTATGCCCTTTATTATATATATAACCATAGTGGTTAATAACCACTTTGGGCATAACTTATAGATCTTCCCAGTGGTCATATTGTCATATAGTTGATAACCATGGAGTTAATTCCACTTACAGTGGTGATATCCCAACTTCTGGAGGTGATACCCGCCGTCCCACGCCTGCGTTCCAGTTCCCGAAGCAAGGACTCGTTCCTCTCGTTGCTCTCCAGTAACATCAGCCGCTGATCTGCAGAAACAGAGTCAAAATCATCTGGAAGAACATGTTTATCTACTTCACCGCTATAGTTTGAAGATAAAATATACCTTGCACCATGTCAGTGGTGTTTTTCTACCTAGCCCAAAACAATTCCAAAAAAATCCAACACCGCGTGAACCATAGGCAAATTTCGTTGACTGCGTCCTTCATTAATCTTGATTTAGACAAAACGATTAGTTCTGGTACTCTCCTCTCCAAGTGTATTGGTTAACTCCAGAAAATTGTGAATTCACTCCCCATATTTGTCAATTGATCTCCGTTTTGTTCTTTAACTTCCCATTCTCTTGCTTAAACGGTTAAAATTGATTCTAGTTTTTCTCAACCTTAAAAGGGCCACATTTTGTTTTGGACATATCACAGATTTGCTGGCTATATACTATCATTGCCAGTTTCAGATTCCCTGCATACAAAAATATTTTGTTAGCTGACTATTATAAATTACATAATGTTTTTCCATGGAAAAAACATATGCAAATATAATATTAGATTAAACACGGTTGAAGTAGCCATCTGAGGTTTACACTGATAAAAAAGGGGTATTTTATATAGTTGGAGGTTTCCTAAAATAGGGGTACGCCCAGTTCTCATCCATTTATAAATGGATGTTCCATGAAATAAACCATCCGTTCCAGGAAACCCCCAGTTCGCTGCTAAAAAAACAAACCACCAACCCCACCAAACCCAAACGCCTTCGCAAGCTGATTGCAACTTGCCTTGTACAGCCTGACGGACCAAAACATGGGAAAAACAATTGGATCATTTGTGTTTGTTCTCAGATGCATATGTATACATATATGTTAATATGTATATATATTTATATGTATAAATTATATATATATGTAAATATATATGTAAATATATATGTATATATGTAAATATAAAGAAAATATATATATGTGTATATATATATAGTTGTTTTTTTAAATATAATGTACACACATGGAATATGTAGCGTTAAATACACACAGAAAGTATGTATATATATATATGTAGAAACAATTATTCTATATATAATTAACAATTCTAAAAATAGTACAGTGAAATACACATATCATATATATTCAATAAAGTAAAAAATATATACACACATAAAACATATATATATATATATAGATGTATTATTTTTCTGGTAGAGAGATATACACACATATAATAGTAGAGTTATATACGCACATATGCTATGTTATATATATATATATATATATGCATATATATATATATGTGTGACAGTGATATACACACACACACATATTTAAAAAAAATGCTAAATAAAGTATTTTTTGCCCACATAATATATATTTATATATATGTATTAAAGTAGAATTAAATACGTGCAAAATATGTAGTGTAAATATACTTATATGTAGTTGATTTATATACACGCATATAATATATATATATATATATATATATGTGATAGTAGAGTTATATACACACATAACATATACATAATATACATATATATAATATTAATAAATATATATATATGTGCAGTATATATTATATAATCGAGTTCAATACACACATAATATATATATATATATGTATCTTAATTATAGTTAGGTTATATACACACACATAATATATATATATAAACAATATATATATATACACATAATAATATAAATATGATGGTAGAGAAATCTAGCTCTATCCATACCTGTATGTGGCCAGCGATCATCAATATCAAGATCAAGTGGAGAATCATGGATTAACTGGACGGGAGACCCCAAGCCTGGCTAAAGATGGTGTACGAAGGTCATAGGTAACCCTGAAAACGCGCGTGTGTGTATATATATATATAATAACAATAGTTGCGAATATTCATATATATATATTTGATGGTTGATCAAAATTCCTTGACCCGGGGCCGGGAACGGCCATTCTTCGCGAATAAACAAATTCGTTCGCGAATCTTTCGCGGGCTCCATGTTTATCCTTCGCAGAACCCATGTTGAGCAACAACTCCTCTTATGAAGATTCATTCATCACCTGCCAAATCACACAAAGTTTTCACGGATAGCTTCTTCATAGCCTTGTAAACATGTAGCTAGCATCACGGAATCCCCGTCTCAGGACAAGTCAATTGTTGCTGATTAGGCAATTTTTTCAAGGCTTACTGGGCCACTCCCTTCAACATGCACCTTGACTTTCGCCCACTCATGCTCACTCATTCGCAGAACTTTCGCGGAACTTTCGCGAAAATACCCCTATCCGCGCACCCCAGCCATCAGCAGGGGGCGTATCACAGGAAAAGCAAACACCAGGGGCCTTGGTGCTTGGCTCTCGCAAAGCCTCACTTTTGGAAGCTTGGCTGCTGCATTTGGAGCTTGTTTCTTGAGACTTCAGAAAGCAACGTTAGGCAGTACCAGCGGCAGGTGCAAGGATGTGCTTCAAGACCATGCTTTTTGGCTGTGGCAAAGCTGTGGCGAAGCTGTGGCGAAGCCTCACCTTCGGAAGCATGGCTGCTACCTATGGTGCGGTACCATTCTCCTGCCGGACCCCGGGCGGCAGGAGGTGGTAGCCGGTAGCCCTTAACAAGCTGTAACATATACAATGATAATGATTTATGATATCCAACTTTCGCGAAACTTTCGCGAATAAACAATATCATTTCGCGAACTCGAAAAAAAACTTCGCGAGGGTTTCCAACATAGCGCGCACGGCTTTCGCAATTAAAACTCCTTACCAGGACCTTTAGATCGACTGCCATATATACTGGGTGGTGGTTTCAACCCCTCTGAAAAACATTAGTCAGTTGGGAAGGGTTATCCCATATATTATGGAACAATAAAAATGTTCCAAGCCACCAAGCAGTATAATAATATATTTCATGATTATGAATTTTATGTATCGTCTTGGTGGTTTGTTGATCCCCTGCGAAAAGTCCAGTTGCATTGACAAAGCATTGAGAATTGTTGGTTTTCAGCACATCGAATCTAATAGGCACAGAAGCTGCCAAAAAATAGACCGAAGCACCTGTGTATGGCTACAATCCAGTCCACTGAAATTGGAAACTCTATGGATGTGCTGCAAAGTTTATGTTTCAGACAAACGGCTTCCGCCATCTTCCGCCTGGTTTTATTGATGGATCTCCCGATTTTTTCATCATCACGGCGGTGCTCAAAAAATACATAACCTTAAAAAAGGTTACAAATAAAAATATTATACCCTCTGGTCCTCTGGTTATTTGCTACATCGCTATGGAAAATCAAGGCAATGTTTACGATTTATAGATTATTTGCCAAACTTATAATAAATATGTTCCATAGCTATGTTAGCTTACTAAAAGGTATGTTTACCAACCTCTGCTTTTAGAAACCAAACAGAGTATATAATCTACAAGTATCTAATCTGGAGGATTCCCCTTGAGGGAAAATTACGATTGTCCCTGCTACTCGACAATTTGGAGAACCCACCGAATTAGTCCATGATTGGCTTTGCCTGCAATGTATCTGAGTGCTGTCAAATTAAAGTGCTGGCAAAAAATACAAGTCCTTCACATTCTTGCTGGATGGTCATCCACTTTAGAGAATGATGCTACGATGTATGTCTTTTGGACAGAGTCTGTTCAAAAGCCATCAATTCCTGCAATGTGGGCCACTCCTTTGAAACTATAGCTAAGTTGGTGAACACAACTTCAATAACGACTGGACTTTATGGTAGATCTGTATCATATTATATCTATAGCGGTTAGCGTTGATGGTTGTTTTTTTCCAACTTTGGGATGCGAATGACTTGTGAATGGGACCTGGCCAAGGGCCAAGTCCTGGAACATCGCACCTCTCGAGTCTTCATCTCTCGGTCAAGCTGTTCCTATGACAGAGATCTCGGAGGCGTCATGGCATCGTGGATCACTTTGAAAGTTTCAACCATCAATGGGGATATCATGATGGCTATCATGCTAGGAATTCATAGCGATTTAACTGACTCATTTGGAGCACATAACGCCAACCATATATTTTTTCAGGATTGAATATAGGATATAAAGCCATCTTACGATAATTTGGGGTTGTCTGAAAGCAGGTTATACAAAGGTATACCCCCAAATGATCCAAATGGAAATTTTCAGCACTGGATTTAGGGGTACCATGGGGTACCCATATTGTAAGACAAACCCAAATGTGGTTGTCAAATGGCAGTGTGTCAAAACCTTGTACCCCCGGTGAACAGCAAAATAGCTGGTAAATGGATGTTCATCCCCCTAAAAATGGTACCAGTAGTACCGCACAAGGCGGTGGCGGAAGTTTCAAAAATAGGAAACCTATAGGAGAGGTTGGTTGTTGTGAATCAGGGATGGCAAAGCGAATCCACTGATGGACCGAAGGGTGCTTGAGGTCTCCTCTCTGTCTCTCTCGTTCTCTGACTATCTATCTATCTATCTATCTCTCTCTCTCTCTCTGTCTCTCTCTCTCTCTCTCTCTTTCATCTGTCTATCTGTCTAGCTGTCTACCTGTCTATCTATCTATCTCTCTCTCTCTCATCTGTCTATCTGTCTAGCTGTCTACCTGTCTATCTGTCTATCTATCTATCTGTCTGTCTGTCTGTCTGTCTATCTGTCTACCTGTCTATCTGTGGTGCAGTGTCATTCAGTGTAATGTAGTGTAGTGTAATGTACTGTAGTGGAGTGTAGTGGAATGTAGAGTAGTGTAGTGTAATGTAGTGTAGTGTAGTGTAATGTAGTGTAGTGTAATATAGTGTAGTGGAGTGTAGTGGAGTGTAGTTGTAGTTGTAGTTGTAGTGTAGTGGAATGTAGTTTAGTGTAATGTAGCGAAGTGTAGTGGAAAGTAGTGTAGTGTAATGTAGTGTAGTGGAGCGTAGTGTAGTGTAATGTAGTGTAGTGTAATTTAGTGTAGTGGAGTGTAGTGGAGTGTAGTTGTGTAGTTGTAGTTGTAGTGGAGTGTAGTGTAATGTAATGTAGTGAAGTGTAGTGGAAGGTAGTGTAGTGTAGTGGAGTGTAGTGGAGTGTAGTGGAGTGTAATTTAGTGTAGTGGAGTGTAGTGGAGTGTAGTGGAGTGTAGTTGTGTAGTTGTGTAGTTTTGGTTGTAGTGTTGTGTAGTGTGGTGTAATGTAGTGTAGTGTAGTGAAGCGAAACGACATCTGAGCCTCCAAAAGTGGTCCGAACCCCTAGTGTTTTGTACATTTTGACTTGGAAATGTGCTTCGCGCCAGAACGGCGTGCACTTTTTCAACATCCGAACCTCCAAAAATGGCGCGAACATGTGGTGTTTTGTACATTTTGACTTGGAAATGTGCTTCGCGCCACAACGGCGTACACTTTTTCGACATCTCAACTTCCAAAAGTGGTCCGACACTGGTGTGCTTTGTACATTTTGACTTCCAAATGTGCTTCGCGCCACAACGGCGTGCACTTTTTCGACATCTCAACTGCCAAAAGTGGTCCGAACCTGGTGTGTTTTGCACTTTTTGACTTGGAAATGTGCTTCGCACCACAACGGCGTGCACTTTTTCGACATCTCAACTTCCAAACGTGGTCCGAAGCTGGTGCGCTTTGTACATTTTGACTTCAAAATCTGCTTTGCGCCACAACGGCGTGCAATTTTTCATCACTCATCTGGCCAGCTGGCTCCACACCCGCCGCTTTAGCGAGCCTACTTTTCGACCCTCCGGAGCCACGAATCATTGGAAAAACACAGTGTTTCGCGACTTTCCTACCTTTTCGCGCATCTGCATCTTCTTTCTTCTTACTCTTTCTCTTCTACTCTTCTTTCTTCTAATCTTCCTCTTCTCTCTGCCTCTTCCCTGCTCTGCTTTTCAGCTGTCCATATTGTCGGAAGTTTGACTTCTAAACTTCCTTCGATTAATAGGTATTGATCCATACCCAAATCACATGAAGCAGGATCAGACCTTTGAGATCGATTTATGATCAGTGGATGTTTTTGGTAATTGCGTCTGGTGATTCACAAAAAAAACAACATGACCAGCACATGGAACCAGCAACTCCAGCAATCCAGTGCTGGGTTGATTCCACAGGGAACACGGGCTGGTTGGAAGCCCTGGTTGTGACATGTGTTTGAACCGAGTTACCCTCTGGTAAACTAACATAACTATGGAAAATCACCATTTTCAATGGGAAAATCCACTACAACTGGTGATTTTCAATAGCTATGTTAAATTACCAGAGGGTATCTTAAATCCTCCTGCGATAAATTCAGCATTTGCTGCACAGTGACATACAGTGACGGAACTGAATTCCGAACCCTCCATCATCTCCCGGTTTCGAGTTTCGTCCTGTAGCTGTTTTCTGGCCGTCTCAATCGCTTGCCTCGAATGGCGCTTCCATTGCGGCCCTACAATCTCTGTGGAACATCAAGCTGAAACAAGGGGAAGCCTTCAGAGACTGAACGCCCGAGACCACGAATACATTGAGAAAATCATAGAAAGAGAACATAAAACATGCTGCTGGTTTGAAACTTGAATCATATTCAGTCATATTTGCAATGGTCAAAAAATGTTGACTATTGCAAATATGGTCGAATGTTTCAAACGTATTTCAAACACCTTGTCAGTTTTGGAACCCACAACATTTGCCAACAACTTCAATATGTGTCATCCCAACCGTAAGGAAAACATTCTAGCAAAATGACGACACCCCAACATAGAACATATCGGTATACAAATATGTTTCTACGCAGGTCCTGACATTTATTCAGACATGGATTCCAACAATGACCCTAACGAAAAATAAACTACAATAACAATTTGAAGGTGACATATATATATATAAATATATATTATATTGTGTTATCATATATATATAGGCATTTGTCTGGCAATTTCATGCAACACTCATTCTGACACTTATTGCCACATTTGCTCCGGCGAATTTCAGGCGAACTATATACCCTGACACATTGTTTAACAAGTTCTGACGTAAATCTGGAGATAGTTATCGCTACTGATTCTGACACAACTTTTGACATGTCATCCGGCAATCTCTGACATATATCTGACAGGTGCCTATACCAATCCCGTGGACAGCTTGTGGCGTGCCAAGAGGAGAAGCTGGCATGAAATTTGGAGACCCTCATCTGACAGGTGTAGAGAGTACACATAATATATATATATATATATATTTGGAAAAATAGCAAAACACATAGAATATAAACTCAGTTGTTTAAATATACTATTCCCCAGAAAAAATATAGTCAATATTTGGCAATACGTTTCAATGTTTTGCAAAAAAAGGCACAGATAGAATATAATATATTGTTCGCCACAATAGATAACCAATGTAAACCATCGGGTGCTCAGTGCTCTACTGAGTTTGTTTTCCAATCATGAATTCAACAGGCACAAGCTGCTGTTTTGGAACATTTTCGGTGCTGTACACAACTGCTTCGTGGTTTCAAGAGCCTGAAAAATCTGTTGGCAATTGGGAACATAATCCCAAATATGGCTGCAAATAAAATGAAGTAAAGCCACCAACCTGTAGTCCTGTAGGCTAGTTCATTGACTCACATCCCCAATGACATGATCATGTGTTCCTCCTTTTGTGGTGAAAAATCTACTATTTGGATGCTGAAGATGTGTTCCCCCATAGAAATCTCCAAATACGGGTAACAGGTTACTCATTTTTACTGGTTACAACTATAGATCATACACCATATCCCGGGTACACATATGTATATATAACTATATATATATACACAAGTACAGCTCAAAACTCTTCCCACATACCACAATAAAACAAGCAGCATTTACCCACAAACCAAATGTACTTGCATTTTACATCATGATCATCATATGGAAAGTCATAATCCATTCATGTTCCAAACCAGCAACCAGTAGTAAAACAAATAAACATGAATAGACAATCCCAATTCAATGCTGATTCGCCGGCCTTGACAGCTCCCCCTGCTCACACACCAGATTCTTCACTTTCGACCTACACCGACAAACCATGCCATGGCACGCTGGACATCCCTGAATTATAGATGATTTCCCCAGCCATGAACCTCCATTTATATCAATCCATATGGGGATTTTTCCATTGCCACCTTTGATTATCAGAAGACAACTCAAAAATAGGTACGTCTAAGTGTCAACTTTCAAGAGTTGATGGAGGCATCAGCGCTTGGAACCATATTAGGTTTGTCTGAAAATTGCTACCCAAAATGATAAAATGATGGTTTATAGTTATGGAATATACCATGCAGTATAAATTAGAAAATGGTGTAAGCCACCATTGATATGGTATTGATAGTAATATGTAATGATATCATGATCTGAAAAGAATATGAACACTATATTTTCCCCATGCAGTATCAATTGTATACCATTTTGGAAATTTCCACGACTTCCCCCCATGTTCAGACCCATCTCCCTGCTTTGTTCTGAGCAGCCGCACTTCATGGACTTCAAGACATGGTCGACCTCCTCCGCCAAACTCTTTCGGTTGTCCACCTGTTTGCGAAACTAGTCGGCACCGGCTCGCGATAGCAATGGGTCAAAACCATTCAAAACCTATGACCCATAGGATCCATGTATGGTATATGTGCTAACATTGGGGGTATATTGATGGTCAATGTTACCATATATAGCATACATGGATCCTATGGGTGATAATTACGATGTTCTTGGGAGGATGAACATCCATCCATAGCTATTTTGAAGTTCAGACTTTTGATCGATTGCCTGTCGCCCACTATCCCTCGCGCGAAAACTCTGCGCGCGAAGAGATTTTGGCGTGAGACTGCCCTTTGATGAGTCTCACTCTCACACCACTGTTGATTCGGAAAGAAAATCCAGGTAGCTCTATCTTTAATCCAATTATTAAATGCTGTTTCTAAATAGACACGTTTATCATCTAGACCCATTGACTATAATTGCAACATATTGCAATTGAATAATCTTCAATTATCAAGACGCTTCAGCTGTTTTTTCCCCCTTTTTACTACTCTACAATGTGGCCCCCCCAGTTGTGTCTGTTGTTGTATACACCCCATGGATACTATGATTGTTGTTTGCGCATCATAAACCCATCCTTGTTAGAGTTATGTTCACCAACTTAGCTATCATAACTCAGTTATAAATCCTGTGAAATTTCATTTTCTTGTTAAGGCCCAGGCACCATTTTCCTACCTTGTCCCTTTTAAGGGGCCCCCACTTTGGTCGACTTCTCACCAGGCACAAATCGCCGATATTCAAAGTTCCCGGGGCATCGCTCCGGACACGGAAAAATCTCAGCCGCCGTTTCTGGATCTGACAGCGTTGCCATATATACATATATAGTTCTATTTATATTTATATGTATATATGTATATGTGTATTTATGTATATGTATATATGTATATATGTACATATGTATGTATATATATATATGTGTGTGTGTGTGTCAAGTTAGAATTAGGATATATGATATCACAATTCATTCATTTCAATCACTTCCGCATACTTGGTGTTTGATGTCAGTATCCCCAACTCGACATGCTCGTTGCTCACGTTTTGATTCCCAGTGAGAAAAAGTGCTTCTGTCCGAGTTTTGTGTTCGATGGAGCATCATGACTTCCTGACGCCATGCAGAAGTGCGTACTGGTACTGTGTCTCTAGACTCTTTTAAAAGTACAATATATCTCAGTAAGTTTCGTAGCCAGATTTCCTACATCCTAAGTCAAGTGAAGTCAAATGAAGTCAAGTTAAGTCAAATTAAGTCAAACATATGGTGGATGGGTGCGAAATCCTGCACCGCCTGCCCTAGTTGATAACCTATAAATAATGGGATATTTACATATAATTACCACCTATCAACTGGTGCAGGATTTCGCAACCATCCACAGTATGGGCTATAATTGGGTCATGATCCAATTCATCCCAGTTCCTCTCGGCCAATTTCCCGACCATCGCCTCAGTTTCAATGGAGCTTTGCAAGTCCTTGACACTTTGGTCCAGTCGTTGTGCTGACTCCTGGGCAGTGCCCGTGGACAATCTGAGAACGGAGAGGAAACAACAAGAACTGGGGATCTTCCCAATACATTTACCATCTGGTTATGACTAACATAGCCATGGAAAATCACCATTTTTAATAGGTAAACCCAGGTAAACCATCTATAAATGGGCCATTTTCCATGGCTATGTTAAATAACCAGAGGGTAAATACATTGAAATCCAACCACTATACAATTTGGTTAATGGTGAAAATCCCTTTCCAAGTCCTTTTTGGGATCATCATCCCAGAACAAAATGGAAAATGATGACTCAATGACATATAAACATGATCGAATCCATTAATGGTGCCGTATTGTATATAGTGTTTTTGCCAAAACCCAAAGAAATGTAAAACTGTAAAGTCTGCACCTAGAGACCCCTCTGGACAGTTCGTTTATGAACGTGAACATATTCCTATATGGAAAGTCTGTAGCACATGAACATCATGTTACGCTAATGATGGAAAACATCTCATTGCAACACGGGTACAAAAGCAAACACCCAAGTGCAATGAATTACTCTAATCCACCTGCCCTATGTACGTCATCAACCTGTACCGACGAAAAATATGCATTACAATATATTTATCTATTTTGGTATGTAAATATGTATGTATGTCAATAAATATATATATATATATTATATATATATATATTATGCTAGCCCCCCCTCCAAAACCGACGTTTTTGAGAGTTGGCAATGGGCGTCGTAGGGCTGCAAGGATTTGAAGGGATTGCAGACATGTATCATCCCAAACCACAAGATTTCAAAAAGGTAGGTCAAAAATGGTAGATTTTTTGGGGGGGTACTATAGCTACCCCCCCCAAAGATCTACCATTTTCAGCTTTCTGTTGATGTCAAAGAGGTAGTATTTGTTGGGAACCTTTTGCAAAAACAAAGTAGGTACACTATTACTTTCAAAAAAGATGAGCACATACTCAGGTCAGAAAGCACAACACTTCTTGAAGGAAGCAATCTGTTTTAAATTGCAGCGTTCCTTTCCATGCTTGAAAAAAGGCAACTTCATTCATAAACTGCAATTTTCCTTCCAGACAAAGTGTGACTTCGTTCAAGAAACAGTACCCCTACAAAGTATAGAGCATTCCTCTAAACATGCAGTGATTTTGTGTTTCTGAAGAAGTGCAGTCTTCCTTTCAAACTAATATTAAGCCTTCCTTCAATCACACAGTATTTCTTTCAAAACACCAGATTCTAACATTTTGGATATGTCTATGTTTTTGATGCAACAGAGTAAGAATAATATCTTGATCAGCAATTTTTTATCTACAATGATTCCATATACTTTATACAATTCAATATACCCGTAGCATTCCATAGGATAATGATGAAGCTACCTTTAACATATAATTTAATTGGCCTTGAAAATACCTTTAGTATACTTTAAATATACCTTCAATGCAGAAAACTTCACTGTACCATTTTATCTACCTTAGATATACCATTTTATTGGCCATGAAAACGTCTTTAATCACCTTTAGGATTCCTCTCTACCTCTAGCATACCTTTTATTTTCCATTTAATTTGTCTTTAATAAACCTTTAATGTACCATCTATACTTAGCTTACCATTTAGGAACCGTTAATATTCCATTTGATATATATATATATATATATACACCATTAATTAATACTATTATATAAAAAAAGGTCGTTTTACTACACCTTTAGTATACCTTGAATGTATATACCTTTCATATATAGTACCATTTAATTGACCTTGAAAACACCACTATGTCTCTAAAATACCTTTTACTTACCATTTAGTTTGCCTTTAATAAACCTGACATATACAATCTATACTTAGTTTACCATGTTAGAATCATTAATATTCCATTTGATATACCATTACTATATGATTAAATATGGTTTTAGCATACCATTTTATATACCATGAATCTACCTCTAATATACCATTTGTTTGACTTTGAAAATACCTTTAATATACCTTCTAATCCACCTCTAATAAACCATTTAACTGTAGTATACCTGTAATATTCCAGTCTGGCCATGAATCTATATAATATATTAATATATATATATATATCTTTAGTGTATCTGTAAAATACCTTGTGTTTTCATTAAAAAAGTCGCTTACTACTACACATTTAATATTCCAAGTGCATGCAGTACCTGAGAGCATAGCGCTATGTTGGCCCGCTAGCATAGAGGGCCAGGTACTTAGAGCAATCTTGTCACCAAAAGTGTTTGCAAACGTTTGCAAACGAGACTGGCTCAGGATTCAAGATTCAAGATTCAAGATTTTAAAAAAAACTTCTTGAATCCCAGGGTTAGGACCAGGAGAGTTTCTGGATTCAAGAAGTTTTTTTGAATCTTGAATCTTGAATCCTGAGCCAGTCTCGTTTGCAAACGTTTGCGAACGCTTCTGGTGACAAAATTGCTCTAAGTACCTGGGTTCAACAGTAAGACAACAATTAATACACACATATGTGTATATATATATATATGATACCCCCCACTGGAACTCAAACAGAACAGGGTATTTAATTTGTCCCAAAAGCATTGCGACCTCAAAAACGTCGGTTTGGGGCGGGGGGGGTACCATATATATATACATATATATATATATATATATATATAGATATCCACAACAAACATGTATCTATACTATACATACATATATACATTACATATACTATATATGTATAAGTGTATATCACACATTATTATCATTATTTCTTCAACATGAAACATATGGCTGCCGCATCTGCCAGCTTTGCTGGGTCCCAGACGGCACGTTTTTGAAGTTCATCTTCCAGACTATGTTGCAGCTCCTGCGAGGATAAATGAAGGCAACCTTGTGAGATCAGCTTGGAAAATTCTTAAAGGAACGAATCCATGGCCACCCAGGAATATATGACATAGGAACATATGTATTTTTTATAGATAATATGTGTACATATATATATATATATATGATAGATCGAAAAATATATGTATATATATATAAATAAATATGTAAACACAAAAATATATACACATATATAACATGTATACGTAAATAATAAAAACAATTGTATATATATATATATTAAATATCATATTTCTATCATGTAAAACAATGTAAATATGCAAATAAATCAAAAACGTATAGATTATAGGTAATATATATACACATATATATATATATATATGTCAGCAAATAAAAGGAAAATGCATAAATGCACATATATTATGTATATATGTGATATGTATATAAATATTAATAATTAATAGATTTAAAACATATATATATGCTATATAAATGTTAAAAAACATAAAATGTATTTGTTCTAGAAAAATGAATCCATACATAAATATATACACATGTTTGTGTTGTTTGATAAAGAGATTTAGTGTACATATATAAATATATATTTATATGTATATATAGTGTTGTAAATATATGTGTATACATATGTAAATATACATTGCATATATGAGTATAGACATAATATATATATATGCAGAAATAAAGATATGATTGTAGATATCATGTATAAATGCTTATTTACATTCTAGATATTATACACACACATATATATATATAAATAGTTAAAATCGAAACATAGATATAATGTACAGTAAATATATATGTGCATATATTATCAATATGCAAATATGTTTGGTATCATATACCCAAAAATAAAACAACTTAAACATATTGTATATATGTAAACACTGTGAATATTTATATATATATATATAGATGTATACAAATGTATATGTGATAGATAATAAACATATATGAATATAGCATAGATGGAATATATATATAATAATTACAAAAAACATAGATATAATGTATATGTGCATATATGTTTATATTATGTATGCGGATAATATCTATAAATATCTATTTAACACATGTATGTAGTTGGTGTATACATTTTAGATACAACATATTCAAATATGTTGTAGATATTATATATATATATGAAATTAGCAATTAGCGTTAAAATTATAGATAATACATATATATATATATGTATATACTGTATACATATGTATATAACTAAAAATAAAATTATGTAAAAATAAAAATACAACATACTTGTAAATAATTATATATATAATGATATACATACATATATAAAGATATATAGTATAGGTGCATACTTTTCTGAACAAAGTATTTTTATAAATAAAATAATATATATATATATGTGGGTTTGTCTGGAAATAGGGTACCCCACAATTTAATGATTCATCAGCATGTCCCCATTCAAGTTGCCATTTGGGAGGTATAATTATGTATGTGTATATATATATATATACAAGGACCAAATGTGGTGTGAAAAGTGAACATATTCTGATATTACACCATCAGGCTCTAAGGTATGTTAAAACATGACGGCTTGGCTCTCAGAAATCACTGGTAACATGACAAAAATGGGATGAAAATGGTTGTTTTCATAATTAATGGAAAACATGGAAAAACATGATGATTAACCAGTGGATGGAATGGGGTACTCTATTTTCAGACTCCACATGGGATATGGGATGCTTGTTTTTTCATGTCAAGCTGATGATATTGTTGCCACAATAGAATAAGGCATCAGTTGGAGAGAAAATGCTATGTTTGTCACGAACATAGCCATCTATCAAAGGTTTTCTGAAAAATCACTTGGGGCACACGGGCAGCACACGTCTCCAAGCAGCCCTAAAAAAAAACGTCCCCGGTCGTCGGTCCTTCATTCGTGCATTGAGTGCATTGAATGAATGATCCACCTCCGTCGGATCATGGTGAACTCTTCAGCTTGGTGGACATGCATCGGTGGCCTTGAACTCCCTATCCACTTAGAACTCCGGTTCTCAAGGGAATTCGTCAAGCTAGGAAAGCACAGGTAAATTGTCTTTCGTACATATACAGTATATATATATATATGTCTGTGTCTATGTTTAAATACCAGTATAGTATAGCCCAGTTAAGAGGTTAATGCGGTGAGTGGTAGCATTGATATCGCTTTCCAGAAATTGTCAGCGCCTTCACAGAAGTTGTCATCGAGTCATCGGTTCACAAGCATCCTAAAAGGTTCGTGTATAATTGCAACGGACTCTGGACAAGCAAAATGTTGAACTGCTCCTTGGATACAGCCACAGGCTTGTGACTCCTAACCGAGTAAAATTGCGTGAAAAAAGGTAAGAGGACCATCTCGGCCTGTGATATATTCCTGATAATCTATAGAGTCTATAGAGAATATGTTCCCATAAAGATCCCAACATGTTCTAAATATTCATCAAAAAAGGTGATGTTCACGGATATTCCCCCATGTGTTCCCATCATTTCACATCAAAATTCCCATCATGCTCCATTATGTTTCCATGGGAAAATCACATTATGTTCCATGATGTTCCATTATTTCCCATCATTTCACATGAGACTCTCATCATTTTCCATTGGAAAAGTCTGCACTTCCACCCATGGCCGGCCTCCGCCAACTTGTTCCGCTGCTGGCTGTTGGCCTCCTTAAGCCCTGACAGCTCCTAGAGCGCGCAAGGCGGTGATGGCCTCTAGACCTAGGGGACCAACCATGGTTTATTAATTAGGGGGGGTACTCCTCCAATAGTCATAATCCAATACTTTTTTATGGTACCTCCCCAATTAACCAGCCGTTTGGGGGGTCATTAATCCAGGGTTGACATTATGAACCATCTCTGGTTGGTGGTTTGAACCCTCTGAAAAATATGTTCGTCAGTTGGGATGATGACATTCCCAATGTATGGAAAACCATAACCCATTCACGTTCCAAACCACCAACCAGATCTAAATCTTGGGGTACCCAATTTTGACTCATAGGCGCTGTCAGTTGAAGGTTCATGAATCCATCTGACTATGGATTCATAGATATGAAGCAAAGCAAGGCGAAGTATGGGGGCACCACCTCTCGCAGAACCATGAAACATACGGTGATTCTACAAACCACACGACGGGAGGTTCATCGAAAAGAAACAAGAGTCTAAGGATATATAATTCTTAACTGAAGTTGACAAGGGGGAGAATTGTACCAACTGGGACATTGGTGAAGTCAGGCTTAAACGGGGTTTAATATGTTTAATTACCCATCCGGACAAAGGATACATTTTCTTCACATGACCATGGCTTTTCTGATCTTGAAACTTCACCGGTTAAATCGTTACCACAGAACCACGCCAACCAAAAAAACGAAGTTGGCAAAACACTAAAAAAATGATCAACCAGCAAACAACAGATCTTTGTGGCAGCGAGCAAAAACTGGAAACATAATCTAGATCCGATGAAAACCATCTACAATGTTTCAAAAAATGCAAATTATATATAAAGTGTATATATATATATATGTATATAGATAGGTTCAAGAATAAAGACATGTATACATATGTATATATATCTATATGATATGGAGGCTTATATATATGTATTGTAAATATATGTATATGTTTCAATACTGAAATGTTCAAAAAAACATCGCAGTGTTCACCCCATCTCTCATTCACTGGTGAAAAGAACGGGATTCCCAGAACTATTATAATCCCCAAAACCTACCCTCTGGTAATGACTAACATAGCTATTGAAAATGACCATTTATAGTGGATTTTCCCATTGAAAGTGGTGATTTTCCATAGTTATGTTAGTTTACCAGAGGGTAGTATGGGGAATGCATCATAGTATAATCCCCAAACTATAATAGCTTATTACCCCACCCAACTATATTAGTATATTCACTGCTTAAGATCGGGATTCCCCTATTAAATATTATCCACAAGTATCTCCAACCTATTGGGTAGTATAATCAACTATGTTAGTATAATGTGGGTAAAACAATAATAAACCATCCCCCAAATGACAATAAATAGGTTGTATGGTAACCATTCCCAGTCATGGATGGTTTGTCATTGTTTTACCAACATTAACAGTCATCACCATCAATAACCATTAGTCAGCATTAATCACCATATATATATATATAACACTTCATAACCATATATCGCCAACCTATTAGGTAGTAATAACCATTAATGTGGGTAAAACACGAATAAGCCATCCCCCAATCATCACCATAAATAGGTGGTATGGTTACCATTCCTAACTATTGGATTAAAAATCACTATTCCAGGATTATAATCATTAGTCACCACTAGTCACCATTAATCACCATCATAATCACTATTAATCACTATGAACCACCATTAATCACTATTAATCACCATTCATGGCATAATTAATCACGATTAACCACCATTCATGGCATAGTTTTATCATCAACCAACAGGGCCAAAAAAAAAAACACCCATCGAACCCCACCTTCTGGAGGCTGCTCAGCAAGGAACGCAAGGAATTGCCCTCCGCGGCACGGTCCGCCTTCTCCTGCCGGAAGAGCCCGCGCCTAAGACTGGTGTTTTTCCTATGAAAATGGTGGTTTTGCTACTAGACATGATAATTTTACGACAAAAAATGGTGGTTTTGCTGCAAAAATATATGGTGGTTTTAACGTTTAAACATCAGGGTTGACGGTTTCACCATGACAAATGATGGATGTACCATGAAAAAAACAAATAACCATCAAACATGGTGGTTTGATCACCAAACATTAAACATGGGCGTTTAATCATCAAAACAGGGGATATACCCTGAAACACGTTGTTGGTGTTCCGTCTTAGTTTTCAGGAGGTTTCATACCTTATATCGTTTCAAAAGTGAGTTTTTTTTTTAGATGTATATGTGCATTCAAGAAAGGGTGTGTAACTCTGGGTTTGGCGATTGGAGTTGAGAGCGAGGTTCCATTTTACTTAATACGTGCAATAGGCATAAACCGAATAACCCATCATTGTCGACAATCGTACCACAAGAACATTGCTAAAAAAAAACACAGTGAACGATGGTACTGGTACCCACAACCGCGTTGCCAAAAGTATATGGGTATGGTTCAAAAAGGTTGACCCAATTCTGTGGGTCTAGTCCATTTTGAGCCAGAACCATATGGTGAAGAGTCAAAGCCTCTCACGGTCAAAACAATGTATCCCATTTTGAGAATCCGAAACACATGGCCGTGATAAATCCCGATTGATGAAGGTATACCCATCTCCAAATATGGATATACAGTATATGGATAAATATCATATAATATATATATATGATAGAATAAATAATGTACATATATATTGTATATATATTTATTTTATATATATATATATTATATTCAAGTTTTGATTGCACTTGCTTATGCAACCTGATATATCCCACTATACCCGCGGCCTGGTCCAGGGACAGCTGGAAGCCTTCTTTGATGGCCTGATGCCGGAGCTTTGAAAAATAATTTCTAGGTAATTTCATGGGACTTAATTAGATTTAATGAGATTTAGTGGGACTTGGCAGGATTTGATGGGATGTGAGTTAATAGGATTCAATGGTGATTAAATGGGATTTGGAAGGATTTAATGGGATTTATTGAAATGCAATTAGGATTTAATTAATGAAATCAAATGAGGAAACGATAGAATATTGCCATAATATGCATGGCACATGCAACATGACATTAAACATAACATGTTTTCCCCCTTTCCCCACAGCACTTGCAGCAACGCATTTTTTCATCTCATATCGTGGCATGATGGTTCATGCCAGCTCTCTTAATCGAAGAGGACCATCAGTTTTTGATGACTGGCGATTTCAATTCCTCCAGACTGTGTCTTCAGACAGTGAGCATCAGCCAATGTTCACCTGCTTCTTCGTCGGTGCTGACATCCTCAACGCGCTCTGCCGCGTTTCGAAGAAAAAGCCAACCAGCTTCAATAGATCTTGAGGGAGTGTGTCAGCCACCACTGTCCTTCCAGGTTGTTTAATCAATTTTAGAGGAACCTTCAAAATCCAATTTTTGGCAATAGTTTTAACTAGATTTTAAAAGGAAATTTAATCGATTTTGGAATCGAAAATTCTAGTTTTTTTAATTAAGGTTTTAATTTCATACTAGGGGAATCTTCGAAATCCATTTTTGGCAACATGTTCAATTATAGATGAAAAAAGGAATTTAAGCGGTTTTGAAATCGAACATGTCAGTTTTTTCAAAGTATTAAGGCTTTGAATTAAGTATTAGGGGGAAGCTTCGCACCCTAATATTGAATACCCCCCAAGACTAAAAACCCCTCCAGGTGTTTACTGTTAGGGGGGACGGTTTCGTATTGGGGAGCAGGGATTAATAAACCATTTGGATACCTTATCTCGATATTGTCCAAAATAATCCATAATGATAATCCATAATAATCTATGACAATCCACAATAATCCATATACAATAATTCACAATAATCCATAAAAATCAATAATAATCAATGATAATCAATAATAAATAATAATCCATACTAATCCATAATAACCCCTAATCCAAATAATCTCGCCAAACAATTGGAACATCCAGCTGAGCAGCTCCGTTCCCTCTCGCCTCCTCTGCTGCCGTTCGATTCTGGGCCTCCTCGGGGCAATGCGTGCACACATTAAACGAACACACATCCATCCATTAACTTTCGGGGGTTCAAGTTGAGGTTATACCAACCATAGTGGCCTCCCCCATGCCAACAACCATAGGGGGTTAAAATTCCATCGTTGCAAGTTTTCACCAAAGTTCACCCATCGGTGGACTACAGGATGGGCCCCCCAGTCGAGCTCGCGTTCAGTTGCCTTAGATATCAGTGGCTGAAATCTATGGTTTATGGTAGATATAAAACGAACTAGATAACTATAATTGATGGGTTTATAAACCAACTTATAACTGGGCCCCATCCTGTATCATTTGATTGGGAAACTCTTAGTAGCTCCTTGGCTCTCCATGTTTGATTGGGAATGCTCCCTCCGAACCACTGCATAGAGTATGCGACCAGAAAGGCTCGGTTTGGATATGTTTGGGTCCGCGGCTTATTGCAAGGGTAGTTGCATTTCGTTGGGAAAACACAAATTACCAAGTATAGGGAAATGAATACTGAACAAACAGAGAACCACAAGGAGTGTTGGAGGTTTAAAGGAGTTTAAACCCGCAAACTCTAGAAACTCCTGTATTTGGAATTTGGGTCGTAGACAATACATGATTTCCTGTTGATTTTCCCTTGAACCAACTTATGTGAAATGGCCCATTCCCCCCATTTTTTGAATGGTACTTTAAACATCAATAAACAACTATTGTTTCAATAATTGGGAACCACCATTTTATATTTTACCCCATTTTTGGAATGGTTTTTGATTGGTAAACCACCATTTTACCTCATTTTTTGCATGGTTTTTGATTGGTAAACCACCATTAAAAACATCGATTCCGACAAAATCAGCAGCAGTCGCCACCTACGCTACCACCATTTTACCCATCGCCTTCTGGAGATTTTCTCTGACCTCCCTGAGCAGTTCACTGAGGGTTTCCTGCATCGCGAATCGGTAGATCTGGGAACAACATCATAACTGGTAGATATATAATAATACTGGTTATATATGGTTATATGATGGGATATATATATATATAACTGGTTGGTGGTATACCTACCCCTCTGAAAAATGATGGAGTGAAAGTCAGTTGGGATGGTGATTCTTCCCAATATATGTAAAAATAAAATTCATGTTCCAAACCACCAACCAGATAAGAATTGAGTCAGTGGGTTAGTTAATTCCAGTTTATTCCAGTTTGTTGTTTTTATTTTGGCCCATTAGATGAATTGCCGACCTGGCGCTGGAAACCCCTCTGGTGATTTAACAGTTGGCTATGGACAATCCGGACGTGTAATAGGATGTAATAGGTAAATCATCGAACTATATGGGCCATCTATCAATGGGAATTCCAGGATCCTAAAATGGCGGTACTGTACTATATAAGGCTATATTTTGTGGTGATATTCCCATTGAATCTATAGTAGCATCGCAATGTTACAGTACCAGCGGATATACCTGGGAACCTAATCATAAATCATAAGACATAAGACATTTGAGACCTTAAACTAGTTTTAAAAGGGGGAACGCGTCCCTTTAACTGCCACCATTTACGGAATATTGAAACTGCGAGATCGCTATGACGTGGCATAACAACTAATTACTAACTACTGCAATAGATGCGGATGTTGAATGACAATAGTGCTCCCATACAGCTGTTCTTGCAGCTGGCTAGTTGCAAGGTCTAAAGTATATTGTATCTATACAATCTGCGGATTTGTTCATATATGTATTAAATAAAACATAAAACAAGACTAATCAATCAATTGGCCTGGAATTCATACTCAATTCATGATTTTGCATTCTGGAAATTTGCCTTCCTCTAAAACTCCAAACGAGTAATGGAGGGTTTCCCCACTTCTGCATCCACTTACAACTGAGATATGCAAGGAAACTTCCGCAAAAAAATGGCGAAACATAAGGAACCTTTTAAGACAAAACATGTGTGAGCATGTGTGAATTAGTTTTTTGGTATTGTTTTTAGTTAATCTATATATATATATGTACAATATATATATATATAATATAAATATATAATATAAATATAACTGTATTCATCAGATGATGTTTGATGTCTTTGACAGTTGTTTTTGCCAATCATTTTTATCGCCATCATGGCCTCCACTGCAACGCCGTTTATATCCCCAGTTATGGCCATGAAACAATGGGAAACATTACATCCAATGCTGCAAATGCTGGAAAATGATCATCAACCAATACATTTGGGTGTTTTTCCCTAGATTTTCAGAGAAACCAACATCTATCACTGCCTATCACTCCATGTCTGATGAGTTGTGAAGGTGATCCGTCAGTCTTTTGCACCTTAAGGATGAGTGGCTTTTAGTTGGCTTCTAAGGTTGTCTGGTATGTCCCTTACATGCATTGCTTCATTTACCATCTCTGGATATTATACATATATAATTATATGCAAACACATGAGTGAATAAACGTATATATAATCAAATATATATATGATATTATGCATACAATATATATATATATACCAGAAGTACCGCACAAGGCGGTGGCGGAAGTTTCAAAAATAGGAAACCTATAGGAGAGATTGGCTGTTGTGAATCAGGGATGGCAGAGCGAATCCACTGATGGACCGAAAGGTGCTTGAGGTCTCCTCTCTTTCTCTCTCTTCCTCTGACTATCTACTTAC